ATAGGCTAAGGGGCGGGACATCTCTAAGCGGTTGACCAATCACAACAGAGCCGGCTAGCTAACCAATCAGAGCAGTGCATTTAAATGATTGCAAAAAGTGATGTTCAGTCAGTATAGAGTGGCGAAGTCACGCCCATCTACTTCCGCCCCATGGGACCTTCTTTCTGAAAAATTATGTATTGAAGTCAATGGGGAGAGAAAGATTATCTTTCGATCCCGTTTGAATTGTTCCACGAATTACACATATGATGTTTGTCAATCTTAAAAAATAATTTCCATGTCAAAAAAGTCACAGTTTGTCTTAAAACTGTTGAAATATAAGACTATGAAAAATACGCAACAAGAAAGACTACAAATCCCAGAGTCGCGTACATTAACGTTACACATTACACTCGTGTTACTCACCGAAACCTTGTAAAGCCGGTCCCGCATGCTGGCTCTTACGGAACCGACTAACTCCCCTTGTGTGTACGTACAGCTCTCAACATGCCCAGACTTGGAGTGATTTTGACCTCTTTTAATACTTTTCACTTCATTCTGAAAGAAAGAAGTGAAATGTGCCAACGTGACGGCCATCTTGGTGTTGGTGACGTGTGCAAGACCAGAGTTGTAGTTCATTGAGTGCTTCACACAAAACAAATGTGTTGCTTCACAGTTTTACGGCACATTTCAATTTTTTTGACTTGCAAAATTATCTTTTAAATTGACAAACATCATATGTGTAATTTGTTGCACAATTCAAACGGGATCAAAAGATAATCTTTCTCTCTCCATTGACTTCAATACATGATTTTTCCCAAAATAAGGTCCCATGGAAGGGGAGGGACTTCGCCTCTCTATAGTATTACAGCTAATTGAATATTTACTCAGTCAATTTTACAACAGTTGTAAGCCATTAATTAGAACAACATGATTTTCTGTTTTGGAAAATCCCTCTGTAGCATAGGGCTGCTCAATTATGACAAACATCATAATCTCGATTATTTGGGTCAATAATTGATATCACGATTATTAAAAACGATTATCCATTGACTTTGAAAACATCCATTTATTTAAAAAAAATTGTTTAACAGTATGTTTTGAATATGATTAATTGAGCAGCCCTAACTGTAGCATTACACTTTAATTCATTAGACTCCTTTAAATAAATAGTATTTACGACCTATAAACATTGACTTGACTTGATGGTTTACTATGCTTCATAATTAACATGTATAATCACAGACGACTCACTCATGCTGTTGGCTTATTCATAAGGAGGTCATTCACAAAGTAGGGCTGCAGAATAAATCATGGTGCTGTGTTTTGATGGTGGAAAAACATTTCAAACTGTTTGAAGAGGAACCGGCAAATTTGAACATATGCTCACAATTCAAACAGACTGCCAAAAGGCCGTAAAATAACACACCATTGAGAAGGCTGCATTTCTCACTAGTGTTTCTGTTTGGTCCCTTCGGTATAAAGGGATTACAGCCAGCTGCATTTCTCAAGACGCTTTGTTCTGTACAGTGCGTTGTGCTGATGTGTCTTCATGTTTGCTGAGTGCAAAGGCTCACATCTCTTCACACACCTGTCAATGTCACAAAGTGGGAAATTACTAGAGCGGATTTCTTTTGTTTGTTCTCGATTTGCTGGTAATGACAAGCAGTGACATGGCTGCCATTCAAAAGTCAACATGATTATTTGTATTGTGTAGATTACATAGGGTAAAACAATAGCTATTACCAGGACGTTTCTCCATTTAATTACGTACATTAAGACAATTGTGTTACAAGTTTAATAAATTGTAAGCATATTAGACATTATATTATGTGCTTATTTGCATTCATTTGCCAAAATAATAAATCTGATCATTGGATAAAGCCAGGTTCAAATGTCTTGTTTCATTTTGTTGACATGGAATCAAAGGTTTTTACAGAGGGATTTTGGGATAGTGTTAGGAGGTTTTTTATCACTCCATAAATCTGAAAATACTCAACAGCCATAAATATAACATCTATTTCTGACATGTATTTTTGGGAATAAATCAGGCCATGAATGATATATGAACAACTCCCTCTGTAAAAACAACTCCAGAATATAGAAAGTAATGCAATTGTGTTGTGTTGTTGTGTTGTGTATGTGTGTTGTGTGTTGTGTTGTGTTGTGTGTTGTGTGTTGTACTGTAAGTATAAGTAAAGTGGACATTTCTGGCTCAGCATGTGATAAAAACAGCCTCTAAAGATATGTACAGTTAAATAATAATTGTTGGTGTATAATATTTTCTAAAATGTTATTTAAAAAAAAGCTTAATGAGGCATTATACATGGCTAACTTCGGGTACATTTAGGAGAAATCTGAAGACACCAGTCGACAAAATTGGTGAAATATAAACTTACATGTGTATTTTGGTTGTTTTCTTTTCACTAGTGTGAACGAGTTCATGTTAGGGATGCCCAAACTCTCAAAAGGATATGTTTTAGCCTGTAGTGGTGCACTTTAATGCTAACCATATAGCATTGGAGGATGAACCCCTCTTTATTGGTCACACATGTTCATGCAAATATCACACACAGTGAAATGTAGTCTCTGCTTTTAACCCATCCTAGTACTAGGAGCATAAGCCGCTGTTGCACATGGTTCCCCCTGTCCTCTAATAGCAGGTAGTCTCAGGTGTTTCTGCAGACAGAGGAGGGAGGTGGTCTACTGATTGCGTCCGTGGTGCAGAGACACCATCACACCCCACCAGCTGTCTACACCAATGCTGTGTGATCTATACAGGCTGCCCACCTTCCTCTCCCATTAGGCTCAATCATGCTGGGTGGCTGAAAGTCTAACTAGCTTCCCTCCTTTTCCATTTAACCTCCTCCTCTCTCACACACAATAATCCTCCCTGTTAGCACTGAGTGAGGAAACAGGCAAGAGTACAATGCCTTAAAATGTAATCTTCAAGTTGATGTTTTAATACAAATGTTTTCGTTTGTATTTCTTAGAAACACGAGAAGTAGTTAGTAATATTGTTGTTGGAACAGTGACACAATCAGTCAGATTTGGCGGTGAATTTTAGATGAATAATGCAAGCTACGAGATGAAAGACAGCTTCATCTTTTGTAGTCTGTCAGGGCGAGCCATGACGGGCTTTATGACAGCATGAAGTATCATTCTAACAGCCTGTTAGTTTGCCCGGGAGAGGAAGAAATGATATTGATTTTTTTTCTTTATCGTTGGAAATGTCATTTTGCAGTCCTGTCACAAAGGCACATACAGTATTCTTTCAAAAAGCTTTAAGAAACTTGAAAGGTTGTTTGTATCTGACTTAATGTTCTGAGATAAAGTTCTGTTACCTCCATGTTGTGTACATATCACTCCGTTTGCAACACAATGAAATATGTTGCTGCCAAGCCGACAGACTGTAGATTTCAGTGAATAATGTATAAAGTGTTTCCATTGTTCAGCAAGAACATTATTCAAGTGTTTTGTCTCTGTTGGTAGCGTGTGATTAATAGTCGTCACTTTCTGAACAGCGCTCTCATGACAAAGTGTCTTGTGACCTTTCCGTGAAGGAAATGGTCTGTCGACAACGCAATATGAAGGTGTCAGAAAGCAATAAGTCAGAAACACAAAAGCACAAACATGAACTAATTAGAAAGCACTCAGAGAGCACATAACTCTGCAGAGGCTTCACAGTCCTTCAAATTTGAAATTTGAATTCAACAAAATGCTAAGGGATTCTTAATATGGATCTGATCTGCATCAACATTTGCATACACATATACAATCATTGGATGCAATTGACTTCTGTTTTCATTTTTTATTCAAAGAGCAGGAATGTATGAATAGATTTAGGGTCTTATGCTAGTTGCTCTGTGAGGCTGTACGTTGGCAAACTTGTGCCTTGAGCTAAAAGCTAACGCCCTCATGCTAACATCCTCATAATGGAAACGCAAACATGCAGATTTTTTGTGGATACCGTATATTGTTTACCTTGTTAACAAGTTTTGTGTTTAAGCTTTACATATTGAAAATGTTTTCCTTCACTACATTTACGCAGCTACAATCATCACTTTTCATATAAAGATTTTGCCAGAGCCCCTTTGACTAGATAGCAGATCATTGTAATTTAAGGATTTGAGGACCTTTTTAAATTCAAATAATAACACTACCTTAACTCAAGTTATATTTTGAAGGGTTTGAAACGTTTGGGAATCCCTAAAGATGTTCATCCTGAGCGGGACATACATGTTTGTACTGATTTTCCTTTATGCAGTTACACTAAAAACTACAAATCTGAATCTCATGGTTGCCCCTGCAGATCTTAGGAACTGATAATTGAAACATTTGAAATACTGTTATGGTGCTAAGTAAAAACGATAACCAAAGTCATTAGAAAGTACCTTTTGAGCACTATTGCTATCTGAACCAAACTGCGTGGTAACCCATCCAACAGTTGCTAAGATATTTCCGACCAACAGATCGACAGTGCGATGCCTTCAGGGTGTCTACAAAAAGCAACCATTTTGAAAAAGCTTCTTCTCACTAAACGATGACACATTCTTTTGTTAAAAAACCAAAACAATGGAATCTGTTTGCACATATTCTACTAGCAGAAATACAAACCGGACAAAAAACATGGCGTCGCGAGTGAATGTAAATAACATTGAGATGAAATAAAAACCTACTTCACCATGTGAGTGGGAGAAAAGTGAATATTCACCAACGCAGATTTGCTCAGTTTTGGTATTTTTCCTACATTAGTAAAAAACAAAATCATTCAATGGATGGAAACGTTAAACATGGAGTTACAGCTGTTCACAATATCAATACATTTAGTTTTTGTCCTAACATGCTATAAGGGACACATGCTACATTCAGATTTCTCTTTCACCAATACAGGAACCCTCTCTTATTACTGACCTTTTATCTTCTCAGCAGGATTTGACCGATTGAATCGATCTCTGTGATAAACACTGAGTGTGCATCTCCAGGGGGCTCAGCTACTGATTGTGTTTGCGTTTTTCCAGATGGTCACTAAACGGAACACTCATTGATCTGGGGAATGACTACCGGCGTCACATGTCTGGGGGCAGCCTGATCATTAGCAACCTGGACAAGAACCAAGACATCGGGGTATACCAGTGCACAGCCTTCAACACGTGGGGGTCCATCCTCAGCCGCAGAGCCAGCCTGCACTTTGCATGTAAGTCATCTTATTCTTGGCTCGACATTTAAGGACATCCTGGCGTCTCTTTGTATCTGCTGACATGTGTTGTTACCCAGGCTTTTTTTAAAGATATTTTTTCATTTACTATTCCAATTTCTCATTTAGCCTGAGAATAGATTTTTCATGTTAATCGAATTATATGTCAGAATCAACAACCCGCGTCTGACTGCCTCTGAACTCCATTGATTCTCATTAGTGGGTCCAACTCTGACAGCATCTATGCTTGGTCCAATATTGACTCATATTTTGCCAAGTAATACACCAGCGAGCTCCTGTGATCCAGACTTTAAAGGAGACAAACTCAAATAATCCTTGAGAAGTGTTTGCATCTCTGTAATCACCATCCACCCCTCCATGAATAATGTATACAGCAGATTTTGAGTGGATCAGAAAGGCTGTGTGCTGCCCTGTCAGCCTGCTGCTCCAAATACAAAAGGCCTGGTGGAGAGAGATGCTGTGGAGCTCCTACCTATCACACTGTACAAGCACATCTCCTCTCTTGAACAGGCCTGCTGACTATTGATCATGTCCCAAGGATAGAGAGCATTAACTTCCTCTCAGGAGATGGACAGCCATTACCCCTATAGCTAGTAATGAATCTCACTTGTGGGACTGGGTGAGGAGCAGAGCTGCTTGACATTTATTGTCTTGCCTAATGCGCAGTGAGGGAGGTCTAGAAGATCAGCATGGTTGATACTCTGCTTTTCTGTGTAACGAGGCCATGCCCTAACATAGAAATGTCATGCCTTTGCTGCTTTGTTTGCCTTCAAAGTTCAACTGCTTCAACTGTATGCTCACATTTCTTATGACAGCTAACTATAAAAACATGCGAAATATTGCTTAGAATGAAACACAAAATTGCATTTGCTACCAAAAACAGATACCTGCATATAAATGATAATATTAATCAGAAGCACAGTCCACAAATTGATGTTAAAACTAAAGAAAAATAACTAACTTGCATTTCAGTCAATGCGGTTTGTATATTTTTCTCTCTAAACAAACCGGGTTTCCTGCATTGAACCAATGATGTGAAGATCATAATCTTGGCCCTGGGAAAATCAGGTGTCATATCAACTAGTGTTTCAAAATTTAAATATTATGTGGAAAAATGCTTTTAGGCCAAAGGGGACTGTTTGTGTAGTAATAATTATAATTCCTTACATTTATTATAGCGCTTTTCCAGATGCTCAAAGCGCTTTACAAATACACATTACACATATCATACATGCAATGGTCATGTACTGTGGACAATACCCACAGGAGCAAGTTCAGGTGAAGTGTCTTGCCCAAGGACACAACGGCTTTACAGACGCAGCAGCGGACATTGCGCCACACCGTCCATCTTCACGCCTCGAAGTCATCGAGGCGCTTTTACAAGTACACATTAGTATCATACATGTACTACCCAAAGGAGCAAATCCGGGTGAAGTGTCTTGCCCAAGGACACAACGGCCTGACGCAGTGGCGGGTTTTCGAACTGAAGTTCCCCAGCACCCCTTGATCTGATGATCAGATGCACAGACCACTGCGCCACCCGTCCCGAGTACCATGATTAGCCACTTGGGTTGTTAGTTTCAACGCAGTTTGGAGCTCTCTCAAAGAGACAAAGTGTAGCATTATGCGGCATCTTGCAGTTGCAGATTGAACCCAACTGAATACTCCCTCACACCCCTCACTTTACAAGTCTGTGATAAAGAGCTGCCCATTAAGAAAAACATCATAATGCTCAGAGCCTATTCTTATCATTTCAAAATGGTTAACGTTTTTTTCCGAACGCTTCAGTGGCCTTAAGGTGACATAAAAATTAATCAAAAACCTTATCTAGAGCCAGTGCACATTTAAGGTAACTAGTGTTACACTTGTCTCTCGCAGGGGCAAACCTGCAAAATAACGACACATCAGCTGATTGAGTTAACCTCAGCTCAATAAAGCACTTTCAGCTCACTCTATGGCTCTCATTTGTGTCATCTCCAGCCACAGTTGGCAGTTTAGTGATTACACCTCGAACAGCACCAAACAACATCCTGATACAGTAAGTAACTAACTGGTGATCATAGTCAAACTTTTTAGGAGCCAGATATTTGAAGAGATGGTAGAGACCAAATTTAGAGCTAAAACACAGTTCTTATTAGACTTAGATTTGTCAGATTGCCATAGCCTACGACGTTATACTTTTGCATGTGATATTAAGCAACAGCGTGCAAACACCATTGCTGTTGTGTTGACAGGTTTGATCTGCTGCTAATTTGTTGTCAAACTAATTATAAATGACTATTTAACCCGTCTGTTGGCTTGTCTGCAATCCGCTAGGAGAGCTGACCACAACGTTTTATTGTAATGATGTTGTCCATTTAACAATTCTCAGCAATTACTTTTTTTTTAACGATAGGAACACAAGCCACCGATGCAACACCAAAAGCCCCAGGTTTAATCAACCGTGTATACAGTATAGGGTTAAAACATACATACACTGTGGCTGCTGTTTTGTTTTGCTCCTAAAGGTAAAAGTACCTTTGTTCAAGAACACTGCTGGAAACAATATATAAAAGGGAATGTCTACACAGTGACGCCATTGCCCAGACCAATTATCTTCCAGCTATAATGGCTGTTCTGTGTTCTCTAGGCCAGTCATTCTTTCGTGGCAAAGACGGATTCTGCTTACAAAGGAATCACTGCAGCTACAGTGGGTTTGGCCTCTCACAGTTACAGTGTGTGGTCAGTTCACTCCACTAAAGCCCATTATTCTTCTGCTCAGAGGCCAGAGTTGACAGAAGTGTATTCCCTCCAGGTCTGAGCCCAGCTACATCTCCGAACCTCTTCAGTACCGTTTGGCACAATATTGGGAAAGTGGTCATCCTTTCCTTGTCCACAAAGTCATTTTCAGTAGCTCTTTGATTCACCTCCCGCTGTTTCCAAGTCCTGTTATAATTATCAACTGCTGGTATGCCTCGTTGCTCTCACTTCAGCACTGCTTCTTAGAATCATAAACATCTTTGGGAGATGGACTCCGTATTTACTAAGGCAGCCTGGTGAGATCAGAAGGACATTGCCTGTGTGTGTATTTTGAAGTGGGCCGGCTCCTCCTGTGGCCTCCATGGTGTCCTGCCGTGACTTGGCTCTGTTTGAATCCACTGCGGTCATCGGAGAGCTGCTCATTAATCTTACCAACACTCTGTCCCACTTCCCTCCATAATCTTCCTCCTCCTAATTTCCCTTATCGGTCACACTGACTTTCTTTTGTTTGTGTTTGGAAGGCTTACTCAAGGCTGTTAGCCAGAGGGTGCAGACAGAGTACAGAGCGGACTGCGGTAGCTTCCCTCCATCAGTCATGAAGCCAGGGGTGGTTTATCATCCCAGGTTTTGAGTTGTCTGCCAGCAACCGCTCATTCATTTGCAAGGGGATGGATTGTGCTGAGAGTATTGATGGTGGGGCTAATACTTTTAAGTAAGAGATTACACCACATTTAATAATGATGTTACTTATTGCTGTTGGCACTGCAAACCGTCATTTGTCATGCAGACTCCCCGGTGTGTTCTCAGTCCAAAACGCCCCCCTCCCAACTGCTTATTTTATCCGATTCAGCCTAATCTTTTTACTGTGTTGTGGTGGTGCAGGGTAAACATCACAACGTCAGGTCAGCAGGGGCGCTGCCAGGGATTTTGGGCCCCATGAAAAGATATCACTCTGGTTACTTAAACATTTTTTTCTTAATGTTCTAAAATAGTTTGGGCCCCTGTCAGTCACGGGCCCTTAGAATCGTCCTAACTTTTCACCCCCTTACGGCGCCCCTGCAAGTCAGCCTATTTCATCAGCACCCAAGATGACTTTGAAAGTGTCAAAGGCTGTCATGAGGTGTCTGGGGGCAATCAATGATGCCCTGTTAAAGCCCCAGTTCTCAAAATGTAACATCAAAAAGAGAACTCAGTCAGTCAGTAAAGGGAATCTGGGAAAACGTATGTCTTATATCAGAGCTATATTCTTTTCAAAGAAACTTGAGAATACAAACTTTCTACACTGTAGACTTTCTGGCTGTCTGACACCCTGCTTTTTTCTCGGCTGCAGTCTAATTTCGATTTTATTTGACTCATCAGATCTTGACAACTTCAAAACTCTAACAGTGAGGAACGCTGTGAACGTCCGCGAGGGCCAAGGAGTGGTTCTGTTATGTGGACCTCCTACATATTCTGGAGGTAAGTTGTTTTCTCTCTGGGTATGCAGCTTTTGTGCCCTTTTATCCTTAATCATGATTCATGAAATATATAATTCCCTTCATCGTTTCACATAGCAACCTTTGATCAGGGATTACTTCCTCACTCCTAATTCAATCTGTTTTAACACCCATTATAAGTACACATGCTGCCTATAATCTCCCCCTTATATAATGTATACTGAACTACTGTGCAAATCCTTTCGTGGGTGTTTCTTTCCTTATCCTGTATATGTTTCTCATTAGAGCGGTGTGTTTCCAAATTAGTCTTCATATGTGCTTATTGAGTTTCTGGCTGTGAGTTAGATGAGAAGATATCTATCCGTTAAATGGGTCATTCCAGAATTGGAGGACAATTTAGACACCAACATTTTTGAAAATGTAACCTTTTATTTTATAATTTTTGTTTATGTATTTAGGAAAAACAGATAATAAACCATCAAAAAAAGTGATTTGCCCAGCTAAGGCATCAAATGTATATTTTCCAATGAAGAATTACCCCTGTTACTCTAATTATAGTAACAGGGTTGAAAGTAACAGGGTTGAAAATCAATGCTAATTTGAGCTTTAACCTCAGGAATTATTTAAATGAAAGGAACTTTGAAATGAATATGCTTTATTCTGATAATATGAGTAACAGGGTTGAGTGGGTCAGAGTGCCACACTCTTTTAAGACTGAAAAGATTGTAAAAATATGAAAAATAAAAGAGAGGACTTAGGTTTGGTCTACCCATGGCAAAATTACTGTTATTTAAAATATGTTTATGATTTTAACAAATACCATTACAAGAGACATATATCAATAGAATAATACCGAAAAAAGTAAATAAAATCCCTATTTTAAATGTTATATTTCACATGCAAGTTGGTCACCAAGAAGCGGGGACAAGAGAAAAATGCCATTTTAGGCGGTGTTCGAGAGCTATTTGATAATTTAAATAATATTTTGAAACCACTTTTTCTACAACTTTATATACATTTTGTCTCAAGACAAGTATGTTTAACACAAAAAGTGCATGTTTTAGCATTTTGGGCATGGATTATTAGATTTTGTATATGGGGGACATGAAATGTCCTCCAATTCTGGAATGACCCAAATATCAAGCTACGGCCAGCAGCCAGTTAGCTTAGCTTAGCGTAGGCTGTCAATGTCTGCATACCAGTCCTACCAGGCCTACTTCCACTTATTTTAAAACAAGATATTTATAGTTATCTCTAAAATTACGTGAACAACCTTATACCTATAGTCGAGATTAGCAACCTTCAGACAGAGCCCGGTAAACTGTTTCTGTAATTAGGAAGCTAAAGGCAGCAATGGGTTAGCTTAGCGTAGCCTGACAATATCTGCATACCATTGTGTGTACTACTTCCAGTTGAATAAGAGTGATTTTAAAATGATATATTTATAGTCTTTAAAGTTACACAAACAGACTTTTCAAAGTAGAACCTGTTATTTTACATTTCGTTTTATTGTGTCGAGGAACGATAGGCGAGCTTAGCAACCTTCAGACAGAGCCCAGCTAGCTGTTTCTTGTTATGTGAACCAGCTGCTGGCTGTATCCATATATTTAAGCACCTCAACACATTCAAAAACATTTTCTTATTGTTCAACTGAGAAGCTCAAAATGGATTCTTTAAATAAGAGGGCTGAATAGGAGATAAAGACGCAGAGTAGGTATGGACAATGGCTGCTGCCTAGCTTGTCTCCCTCTTGATACTGTAGCTTGCACATTGAAACAACCAATTCCTTCACAAGAGAACAGTTTAGCGCAGAGCATTGTACAGCTGGTCTATGGGATAATGGGTCAGAGGACTCGGTGTGAAATACAGTTTGACAGCTTTCCTCTGACATGGGCTTATATGCGGTTGGCTGCTGTAACCGTAGCGCTATTGTGTTTTTCTTACATTTTCAGAAGTGAATGAAAAGTAGTGCAGTGCAAGCCCTTCTTCCTTCTCTCGCCCCGTCACTCCCCCTCTGGGTTTCCTCTCCCTCTCTTCCCATTCTCTACATTTTTTCTCTCTTGTAAATTGAAGGCATGCATTTTTCTTCATAACCTTGAACTTCACTGTACCTTATCCAACACCTCTTTAAAAATAATCTGGTTTCTCAATGTGTTGACTCAGAATGGCTTTGTTCCCCGTCCGCATTCATTATTACATCACCCCCAACTGCTAAATTAAATACAATATTGTCACAAGCAATTGGGTCCCCTTAGTGCTCCTTTTCAGAGTTTTGTTTACTCCAAGGTCTTTTTAAGCACATGGGTCACTTTTTTTCTTCTGTTGCAGAAAAAGCCCCTGTGTTGTGTTTTCTTTTGACTTACTGCTTACAGTTCTATCACTGCTCATTACAGCCGCGTAGTTCAGATGGAGGTTATGCTGACTCCTAAATGTGTGGGTCCTGCTTGCCTAATCAGAAGGAGCTTTGTATCTGCATCACTGCTCCCAGCTCGGACGCTCCATCCCATCCGAAGCCGTCCCTGGGGGGGGGGGGGGGGGGCGTTGGAAATGATTGACAGTCATTGCATTCACCTTTGACCCGGAGCCCCTCACCTCCCGTGTGGTAGATTACACTGAGCATCTCCTGGCTCTTGCAGATCTGTGCAGTGTGCGTTTTTCAAAATGACACAGTAATTCATCATGGCAGGTTCCTCTTTTCTTATGGTGGACCTGCAGCTTGTGAAGGCGCATCACAGCATGTTCGTAATTCCATACGTCAATCTTTTCAACCCTCAATCCATCCGTCTATTCGTTTGTGCCTCCCATGAACCAGACCATGTCACTCGGGGAATGCAGGCCATGTGTCAGGGGAGGGCCACTGACGCGCTGTAATCCATTTTGTTTCGCTTCCTTTCCTTGGGTCTCACATTGCTTCTGCACCAATAGATATTGCATTTGCCATGCCTTGGTATCTCTTCCCAAGAAAACTGAGATAAGGGTAAAACAGTTTAGTGATATGCTAAAAAATGTAGGCCAAACTTGGGTATCTTCTTTCGGTTCAACTGTCCCAGCTATAGAGATCTAAAACTCTATGTGTGGTATCAGTTTTAAAAGAGCAATGACAGCAGAAAACCTCAGCTCTAAGCTAAATTGTATTTCTTTCCATTCCAGAGCTGACATTTGCGTGGATCTTCAATGAATACCCGTACTTTGTCCAGCAAGACAGCAGGCGATTCATCTCTCAAGAGACCGGGAGTCTGTACATCGCTAAAGTGGAGACCTCAGATGTTGGCAACTACACCTGTGTGGTTAACAACACTGTCTCGAAGGAGAAGGTGCTCAGCTCTCCAACACCACTGGTCCTCAGAAGTGATGGTAAATGACTTAAATATAAATAATTCATTTAAGATCTTAGAACAGGATACAATTTTAGAAGCTTTCTGGTTTCCGTTTGTTGTCCAAGTTGTATTGATCAATTACGTTTGAGCAGGCTTTCATTGAATACAGGCAAACAGTTCATATTGAGGGTAAAATAGATGGAACACTGACTGAAATGCAATATCTGAGCTTTTGCATCCGAGGGTATTTACAATTATTCAGCCTTTTATTAGCTTGAAATTACTTGCCTTGTGTCGTAGACGCCATATTTCAACAACACATCCATTCTGAACTTGCTTATCGGACTGCAAGAATTCAGCATTGAAAACCCCCTACAATTCTCGGAGCCGAGGGGTTCAGATATTGCATTTTTATTTTAGTGTAATTTTCTAATTGTGGGTCAAAAGAGTTCCATTACATTGGCAAGTAGCTGTCAGTGACGTCAAGGTTAAAATGGACTGTTTATTGTTTCGTTTTTACGGACCTCTAGGTCACAATTTATTATAAAGGAACATTTAAATTGTGATTATATTTTATAAAGGCCTGAATTGATGCACTAAACAAGATAAGATTGTACCAATCACAAAAGCTTCTTGTTTCAAATGAACAGAACAAAATGATATAATGGCAAACTAAAAGATAGCTACAGATCAGTATTTTATTTAACAGTGACAGTTATCAATATAGACAGCAAAATCAATGGTTTTGAGTTTCATTTACATCAGCTTGAAATGGCATTACTAATTCAGGAACCCTAACCTGAAAATAGTTCTCTCTTAAATTGTGATTTCAACATCGGTGGAGTTAATTGCTCAACCTGATGTATTACAGTTGTTGCTTTTAATATATTTCAACAACAAGGTAGGACCTGCTTCTCTACCAGGCAAGTATTTTCCCTGATGTGTTCCCTGAATCTTTTATAAGCCACCTCTGATTTTCCTGCTCTTCACCAGCCCTTTGGGGGTCACTTTTGCTCTGCATGCATAAAGACTTCTGTGTTAGCTGTCCCATGCTGTTACTGCTCTCGCTTTGATCCAACACGTGTATAATCTGCGCCGTTAATCATTGATGTAAAAAGCTTGTCGTCTGTTGTCTCACTTTTGTAGGAGTAATGGGTGAATATGAACCCAAAATAGAGGTTCATTTCCCTGATTCGGTTCCAGCTGCGAAGGAATCGGTGGTGAAACTAGAATGCTTCGCTCTGGGAAAGTAAGTGAATCTCATTGTGTGTGCGACATAAGCTGTAGGCTCATTCATGCATGAATAAGCGCTACTCAAGAGGATTTAAGGATGCACAAGCGTAACATTACTCATTCTTAGATTCATCAATTCTTACGTGACACGGCAAGGGAGTAGAAATCAAAGTTCCTTAAAGAGCTTCTTAATCAGAGTAATCACAGTTAGATTTTTGGAGAACAATAACTGACAAGACACTCAGTTTGATCATTGAGACTGACAGTTGCCATCATGGGAATCTTTTTTGATCGTCTTTTTCGCAGCCCTGTCCCAGAAATAAGCTGGAGGAGAACCAGCGGCATCCCTTTCCCCAGCAAAGTGAAAATGAAGAATTCAAACGCCGTCCTTGAAATCCCCAATTTACAGCAGGAAGACGCTGGGACGTACGAATGTATGGCAGAGAATCGGCGAGGAAAAAACGCTGCACGGGGTCGTATCTCATTCCATGGTGAGTGAACCATTTTAAATTGACGCAGGGAGAATGAATTTGGGTGTGTATGTACAGGAAACATGGACGTCCCCTGCAGTTTTAATCTTGTTTGTTTGACAGAAAACCTATTTGTCTAAGACGTGCGGGGCATAATGTTACCATGACATTTCTGTACATGCTATGGATCCACACTCTAAAAAGTAAAAAGTGTATATTAGATTACAGGCCGCAAATTTCCAATCAATATTCAAATCTATTTACCAGCATGTGTTCCTCATTAGGCTGATAATCCACTTTGAAGGCTGCATTAATGGCTTCATAATTTCTGATACCACTCTTGACTAATCCACTGCTGCTATAATTAAAACACATGTTTGAAAAGGTAATCCTCTCATTTATTTCAAGCTAAACCTCACTGGCTCCAGACAATGACGGACACAGCTCTGTCCATCGAAGAAAACCTCTTTTGGGAGTGCAAGGCGAATGGAAAGCCCAAACCGTCCTACAGCTGGCTGAAGAATGGGGAGCAAGTGATGGCTGAGGTATGGAGATATGAGACTATTATACAAATTGGTGACAAGTGAAGGGAAATCAAATTGAGGCAACATAATGATGCATATATTTCCATTCCAATTAGTTACACTGAATCAAAAATGCACACGGTTTGAAATATGAATGGTACACCGACCATGCACTGGTAAATGCATGTGCTGTGTCAAAAAATTGCTTTTGATAGATAGAATCAACCTCTCATCCATTTCCCACTTGCTAGGGAGAAATACTGTTCATGAAATTTGAGGGGTACTCCACATTTTAGTGCTGCTTGCATAATGGGGCAGACAGATTTAGAAGAGGCAGAGGCAGTCTGACATTTAGGGCCCATTCACACCTGCTATTAACATATTATCTGTATATCTTATGCGGATTATGACAGCTAATTTACAAGCCTTTGCTCTTACACTTAATACCATTTATGTTGATTCTAGTGGCCTGATTTCTATATGCATTCATTTTAAAGAGGACCTATTATGCTAATTTCAGGTTCATATTTGTATTTAGTTTTTCTACTGTGACATGTCTCCATGCTTTAATGTTCAAAAAGCTCTTTATTTTTCTCATGCAGCACCTCTTTTCACCCTGTGTCTGTAACCAGAGCCCAGTCTGCTCTGATTGGCTAGCTGGCCGGCTCTGTTGTGATTAGTCAATTGCTTAGAGATGTCCCGCCCCTTAGCCTATCACGTACAATTTGTTGGAGCGCCAGCCAATAGAAGTGCGAGTGTGACTATGCGCAAAAATAAAAACAAAACAAAAACGCAAAGAAACGACTTGGTTAGGATAAGTTAAAAGATGATGGTTTGGCTTAAAATCAATACATTTGGTAGTCATTCACTTATGGAACTTTACTTTCAGTTTCCTCCCCTCCGCTACCGACCTCTTAAACAAGGCCTGCCCCCCCCCCCCCCCACTGACACTTTACCTCTGCCACATCATAGACTATATGCATTACATTAATGCACACAATGGTCATACTCCTTTCTGCACATATTCTTATTTCACATTCTAAAATTCATTCATAGCATTCTATTTCCATGTAAATGACTGCTTTATTTAATTTTGTATTGCTATTTAACTGTATTTTATTACGGTGTAAAAGATTTTTAGTTTTATATTAGATTTCTTGTTTTTTTATATTTTATGTATGCACCGTGACATCAAGTCAAATTCCTAGTATGTGCAAACCTACCTGGCAATAAACCTGTTTCTGATTCTGATGAATCTATCTATTTAATTATACATATGTTTGGATTCAAGGCATACGATAATAATAATAATAATGGATTACATTTTTTAATTAGAGCGCTTTTACAGGTGCTCAAAGTGCTTTATAATTACATATTACACATATTAGACATGTAAATGTCAATACTGTGGACATTACCCACCGGAGCAAATGATAAGGCATGTTTCTTTGATGTATTTTACTTATACTGCCTGTAGAGAATTGTGTTTGTGTTAAAGACATGTGTAGACCAACCAAGTCAAATAATAAAAACTAATATTACAAAAAAAATAAGCTCCCATGTCTGAAAATCATAAATGATCCAGCTGTAGAAATTACTATAGGTGAAAAAGGACTCTTTCTAATCAAACGCCTGACATTTCTAACCTCAGTTTTTCTAATAACCATTTATTTATCAACCCCATGGCCCACAAAAATACTATGTATATCTATTATCACCCCTGTATGTGTAAAATCACTGTACTACCTCATTCAATTAGCCACTGAAGCAAAAACGTGCAAATAATTTATTATCTGTTGAAGTGTTAGATTACATTCACTGTGAAGGTTATAGCCTTACTGTATTTATGTGTAAGGTGACTTAGTACCTCACTAATAAGCTCCAACTTTCTCTCCATGCATCTATAATCAACCCTCCTGTTGTCTTCGGGTCAAATCTGACCGATTTACAACTTTCATCATTCATAACTTTTTTGTTTACATTCCATTGCATTAAGGCTTTATGATATCCTTCACAGTAGACATTTGAACATATACACACACATACACACACACACACCATGTGTCACTTCAGGGGACATTACATTGACTTACATGCATTTCCTGGAGACTTATCCTAACCTTAACCATAACCAACACATGCCTAACCCTTACCCTAAACCTAACCAAGTCTTCACCATAAAATTAATGATTCCCCTTATGGGGACCTCCAATTTGTCCCCATAAGGGAAGCGAGTCCCCACACGTGACTGTGTAAACAGATTTAGGTCCCCACAAGTATAGTAATGCAAGGCCACACACACCCCGCTCTTATGTGCCCATCCCCCCACATGGATCACACCTGGCACACGCATTACATGTTCAGTGTCTATTCTTTGTATATTTACTGCAGTTTTTCATGTATACCAGTAGTCTGATACAATATGTACAGTTTGAAAGGGTGTTAAATGAAATTGGGTGATTAATGGTTTTTGTGTTAATGTAATAGCAGTTAAAACAGGACTGGTCCAATTTTACCGCGAACACCAAAGTAAGGGGGGGAAACGAAGACAATAGGAGGGTTAAGATATCAGCATAAGAAGCCTCCCCAACTGCAGCCTTTCGGATCTCTGACTAGCTCATTGGGCCAAAATCAATCATCAAGTCATCATCGGAGCAGTCATGATAGTTTTTCCAACTGAACAGTCACGGAAAATAAATGGCTTTTTAATATGCTGCTGGTGCTGTTGTCAACATTGCTTATTTTCTGTGTATCTAAGATGCAGGTTAGCAGTTCCCACCAGTGCCTCATCATCTCTTCCCCTATTCCAAGATGAACACTGGCGCAATGCTTTTTTTGTTCTCTCTTTCTCCTCTCCTGCTGTCCTCCTCCCTTCATGGTGCACCATTAATTGCTGCATCGCTTTTGGTCATAATAAGTATGCCTTGCAATGGATATGCAGATGATGTCTCTCTTTCCTCCTCAGGGCCGGGTACAAATCGAAAACGGGGCCCTCTCCATGGCTGCTTTAAACCTGTCCGATTCAGGGATGTATCAGTGTGTGGCTGAAAACAAACATGGCATTATTTATTCCAGTGCCCAACTAATGGTGTTAGGTAAGATTGCATTCCTCCCTCTGCTTTTATCCTGCTTATCTGTCCGTGCGTTTGATCATCTCCTAAGATATACACCAGGATCCTGCTATCTCCTCACCAATCAGTCTGCAGACTCATTTGATGTCATTTTGGGCTCTGCCAGCAGAAAATATGAATCTGATGGAGCGTCTCATTTTACTTTAGCTCGTTTCATCATATTGATTTGGATACTACAAACGCATTACTTTGTGGCATTGCACATGCTTTCTCATGTAGATGGGGTATTGATTTATTTGCAAAGCTTTGATGACTTCCAACTGACTGGCTCGATGACAAATCAATTTTCTGTCCTGATGCATGTGATGACACTTGGGGGTCCAAATGATGGCTGACAAAATGTGATGATGAGTGTGGGCAACAGCCAAAAGCTGTGCAGGCTGGAAGCATGCGGAGGGTGGATTATGTGATAAAGCATTGAAGGGTGGGGTGGCAGGTCGGTCCATTTAGCCTTGAGCCAAAAAGGCATTTCTGCTGAGTTCACGCTGAGGTTTTGAGCCGCTCTCACTAAGAGCTGAAAGGAAGTCGATGTCGATACGGCACGGCTGATCTGCAAAGGTACAGGTTGCCTATAGTTTTTAATCTTACACCTTTCTCTGCCTCCCAACACACAGCTTCACCTCCCAGTTTCTCCAAAAGTCCATTAAGGGCCCTGCTAAAAGCCCGCTCAGGAAGTGAAGTCACTCTGGAATGCAAGCCCGAGGCCTCACCCCCAGCAATTAGCCTGTGGAAGAAAGGGAATGAGATCCTGCAGAGAAGCGAAAGGTAGGATACAAGTCCAAATGCATATCCCTCAGCTTTTATCACATTCACTGCAAAACGACTTGTTTGAATTGTATATTTGGTTTTGTGCAGATGCATAAAAGGGAAGGCTAATGGGGGGAATGAGAGCAGAGCACCCACCAAGAAAATTGCAAATGGCTAATATGCTGCGTGCACCCTCGTGTGCAAATAGTGTGAGGGATGACGATGCCAGCTGGTCATATCCACACTGCATGCATGAAATGTTTGAGACCATAAAAGATTAGCAAATGCAGGCATGCTGAAGATAAAAGCTTTTAAATAGAGACAAAGAGACAGCTCACTAGACTACAAACTCTGTGCAGACATTATGCCGCCAATGAGCAAACTTAAGGCACCACTTAAGTGGTTGAAAGTGGTGCTTCATTTTCTTTGTTGTTGAGCTACTGAAAGTGTTTCACACAATACCCAAGCACCAATTAAAAGGTGAAGAAATCAAAAAATATCAGAGGCAAGACATGACACATTATTAGCAATCCACAAGCAGAACTTTCATCATTGGAGGAAGAAGAAAAGCGGTGACTAAACCTTCAACACACACACACTGAGGATTTGTAACACAAACACACACACACACACACACACAAGCAGGCAGGGCACACTGAATAAGAACAACAGAAACAGACATCTCAGCCCACAGAGGAAATTCTAAACATTGAATCACGCCAATACTGCTTATACAAAAGGAGGTCTGAAAGCAACAATATAAGCAAAGCGTCTTGTCAAAACAACACTGAGGCTCCAGATGGGAAGCTGCATCTATAGCTGCAGAAAATTGGTAAAATTCCCAAGCTGACTGACATTTAGCACACTGTATGTGAAGCCCACATGGTGTTTCAAGGTGCACACTGGACGTATGCAGATACTGGATAGGAAGTGTTTTCTCACAGGCAGTCATGCTGTAAATCTGAGCCTTGCTTATATCATTGTATAGACACTGTCTCCCAAAACAACATACATACATCTGTTCTACTGTATTTAACATTATGAAACAGTGGCAGTGCTCATGTGACCTTTCTACTAAGCACTATGAAACAGAACTATTTGGATATGTTTAAGAAATGCAAATAATTGGTGAAGTTATGGGAAAGAAGCATGACTTCCTTCAGAATAACAATATGATTTAGTACTTTTTACTTTTGTTTCAAGAGGGACACAAACATAGTTACCTGGGTGAAGCGCACCAATTATGGCGTAGCACCCTGCCAAACATAAACAATTACCAAGTATACACGTTTGAACTCTTAACAGTAGTGAACCAATGGAGAACTTTGCATTATTATATTTATATTATAATATTATATTTAAGTTGACAACCCAATACATGGTGATTATGATAATTCAACTAAAGTTAATGTACCTTTTTGTCTTGATCACTCTTTGTTGGTCACTAAATAAACGCAGTGTACTTTTTTGCCGGACAATAATTGCCTTCTCTCTAGTCATATAGTAATAGAGATATATTGGGTTCCCAGCATGAAAGCTTCCTCTCTGACCTTAGCAACATAAAGCCTGTGAAGCGCACTTTATTTATTCATTGAGTTATTCAGTGTTGCTGTTTGTAAAATATTTCTTCATTTAGTAATGTGTCCCAGCGTTTAGCCCGCCACTGAGTGAGGGCGATGGGTCACTCTGCCTGCTGCGTCAAAGAATTTCATTTTCCTGAGCTTTAGTGGGGGGCTTTAAAGCAGCATTAGGGTCATAGTGCTTCAGAGGCTTTCAATCTTTTTGGTCAAGAATACACAAAGAATACAAAAAATAATAATACAGACAGATGCAATTCAAACGGTAAACTCTGCACCTTAGTCCATACAGTAAAATCTGTTCTGCCTTCTTCAGGATTACTTTGCTTCCCAACGGGACTTTAAAGATCGCCAATGTTACCCGACGGGATGCAGCCATCTACACGTGCATCACTAAGAATCAGTTTGGGACAGCAAGCACAAGTGGGAGGCTGCTCATCACCGGTGAGTCTTTTCTCCTTTGTTGATGTAACTATGCTGTGCGTATGTGCTTTCTATTCAAGCACATTGATAACAATGGGTAGATTTTCCTTTCAAGGTTGAAGGTTACTTGAAACAATGGGTTCTTGATTTCAAACTGAAAGGACAAAGGCAGCTTCATGTTATTTACAATCAACAGTTGGGTCTAAAAGGTCAAATGACAAGCCTTATTAGTAGATTTTATTATAAGCCTTCTATTTCTTCCAAAATACAACTGCTGACCATATCAGCTTGGACAATATCTCCAAATGAAGTAGCACTTGAAGAAGAATATGTTATGATCTGTAAGATCGCAGAAAAGGTAGGACCCAAATGCAGACTACAAAAACGGAAAAAAGGTTAGAAACAAAAAGCTAGCTTTATTTAAAAAACAAAACATGGCATGAATCAAAACGGTAGCTCAGGAAAACAATAACACAAAAACTGACCGTGAAAAACATGGAGGAAGACCAGAGAGAAAAACATGAAATGAACCCACAAGGAAACACAGGAAAAGACAAGACTAAATACAGGGAGGGGTAATCAAGGAACAAGAAACAGCTGGGTGAAGGAGGGAGAAACACAAGGGCAACAGGTGAACACAATCAGACAATTAGACACACCAGGGAAACTAACGACAGGGAGGAAAACACAGGGAGAGGGACCAGACAAGAAACAAGGAGAAAAACATGAAACAGGGAGAACAGAACAGCAAAATAAACCCACACCTAGACATACAAAACTAAAAACGTGACATAACAAGAATCGTGACAGAATATGTAAATACCACTTGCGTGTCTGTACACAAACATTTGTATTTTCTGCCATTAGTTGCCTAACACAATCAATTTGCTAGCACCCATGAAGCTAACAAATTAGCATACAGTATCATGTTCGTTTAAGCTAGTATTTGTTCAGGGGGGTTAAGGGTTGGACTATTTATATCAATGGTCATTCAGTGTTGTAACCAGGAAATGGGTCTCAACAAATAAATAGTCCAACATATGCTCCCTATAAAACATTGTATTGCTTGCTGTTGGAGCCAGGCTAGCTGCTGTTCGCCCTTTCTCCAATATTTTTGCCAAGCTAAGTTAGCCGGCTTCTGGCAGTAGCTTTCAATATTACCTACAGACGTTAGAGTATGATCTCCTTATCTAACTCAAGAAAATAAATATGCCTATTCCAAAACTTTCTTTCACTTATAGAATGCATTTGAAAGCGGCATAAATCACATTATGCTTAAGCAGTGCTCTTATATCATATTAATATTCTTTGCAAAAAAGATTGAAGCTTAAAGGTCTAGAGAAAAGTTAGCAGTTAACATGTAGGTGAACTGGCAACAAAAGAGCAGCATTGTTTTTGTAATGCAGACATTCAGCCGAATATTATATATACCATCTACTCTTTTGAGATACCAAGTCTACTCTTTCTACATCCCTATGCACGGTTTCAGCTTTTAAATGAATCCAAAGCTTTTCCAGCCTCACTGTACCTGGTTTTGGTTGAACAGACATGATTGGACAATTCTTATCGAGGCCGGAGTTAAGCAAACGTTATTCAAAACTAAAGGTCAATGATTTCTTGCCAATCTATGGCTTGATAATGTCCTCATTTATAGTCATGTAAATTGCATGTGTAACGTTAAAAGCCAAGGTTATTATCAAATTAAAATGTCTGGTATGCATTATGCAAAACAACATTTAAATAAGCAGCAAAACATTATCCTTGATTTAGTTAAAGGTCGTGTCACCACATTTATAATTTCGATGACATAACACGTCCACGTAGTCCTCGCGATTAATCTATTGTGTGTAGCCACCTGACCAATTTTTCTCATTAGCTTCTATTCTTCTTATACACTGACAGCTGAACCATTTAATGTCATGGAATTTAATTACTGTGACCTTTCCTCAACACACAACGAGGCCTCCAATCCACCATAGCCACCAGTGGGAATGCGCTCCCATCTCTGTTATCCCGCTTCAAACATTTTCCCGTCAAATTGATGCCCGAACATAAAGTGTGAACCTGATATGTCATAAAATGTTGCTAATGGACAGGCCTGGAATTTAAGTGCTTATTAAAAATCAGGAAAAGCACACATCCGTGGGTAATTTAATGATGGTGACTTGATTTAGCCGTGAATTGAAGTGAGATGGCAGTTGCCGAGGTCACGGTGGTGTTAAAGGTTCCCGTGGCAGCCATATTAACATGCGTACTCTGTCGTCTGTTGTCTGCCCAGAGCCCACCAGGATCACCATGAGGCCTACTAACATGGGAGATTATTGTTGGCGAGAGCATCGTGTTACCCTGCCAGATTGCCTGCGATCCAGCTCTGGATGTTTCTTTCTCGTGGGCATTCAACGGCCAGCTCATCGACTTCCAGCGAGACAGCGATCATTTCGAAAGAGTGGGCGGGGTGAGTCATCACAAACATTAAACACAGCTACGTTCGGGCTATTTGGGGATTAATTGAGACATACTGTGTTATATGCAAGGTTATGCTCTGTTGCCCTGCCTAGGTCTTCTTAGACACCAAGCAGTAATTTGTTTTGCCAAGACTGGTCCATTAGAACAGTTTCACAGTGGTCAGCAGCAGATAGTATATAAAAAAAAGACAGAAACATATCAGTTCAATTCCTTCAAACCCTGTCCTGTTAAAGCATTAAAGAACAGCACTGTTGGGTCAGTAATCAGGGATATATTGTTTAACGCCATTTCAGTCCTACAAAGAGTCTTAATTTATTACATCTTTATTCTTTTCATCCCTTAAACTTCCAGTTCTCCTTCATCAAGGGAGAACATGTTCTTATCACCTTCCTCTGCTTTAATTTAATTTGCATACCTATTTGTGAATCGTAAGCCCGGAAATAATTGAGTAATGAGCCGGCAGCAGGCATGGCACCAGAAAATGTCCATCTGAAATCCTCATTCCCTGATATAATAACAAATGACAACTCTTTGTCGGATATGTGTTCCTTTTGATGAAGGTTGAAGTAAATTGTTCGGAGTTTGTCACGCTTGAAATGACTGTGAACACGGTGCCATTTATCATCCAAGGTCAGCAGTCCAATCCCTGCCGTTCGTGTTAAAGGTTGCCCTCATGTGTTGTGGACATGCCAAATTCATATCTTTATGAATGCAAATGGCAATTACTAATGACATTGAACCGTGCACATAAATATAATGAGATATATTTTTTATAGAATCTGTTTCCCCTGTCCAGAGAGATTACCAGCCCCCGCTCAACAGCTTCTGATGAATTAATTAACATAATTAAAGCAAATCTGCCTCATCACTTCCTTCCTGCCAAGGTAGGACGCCTTGCTTTCGAGCATAAGCTCCCAGGTTGGCCAGGTGGTGGCTGGCATTAGAGAGAGAATCAGACATGGCAGAGTGGCGTGTAAACCCTGTCAGGTGAATGCAAAGAAAATGAAAGGAAAGTTGGGAAAAGAAAAGAGAGTAGGAGAGGTCTCTTTAGCCCGTGGCCGCGTAGAAGTGCCATTCGACTCGGCTCCTCTGTGTCAGGTGGTGGTGGTGGAGGTGGAGAACCACAGGCGTTCCTTTGCAGGTGCTGCATCTGGGAGCTATGATCACTACCCGGGCTGATGAAATCTGCTCTGACAGCAGAAAGTATACCTGGCGCATCCCCAGGTCACTCGTTGAAAGAACAACAGTCTTCTCTTCACAGGCTGACATGTTTTGTGAAAAGACCACTTCAATTGTCGGGTTTCAGTAGGTTGATTTCCACACGGTCAAAATGGGTTAATGTGTTAACACAAAAATGAAAGTCACTTCCACCAAAGGACCAAAACCAACAATGAATTCATCCTACCAAATGCTCCTTATACAGGGAGGGTCTAGGTATTATTTAAAAAAGTAAAAAAGCCATTACCCAGTCATGTGATTCCAATAGCAATAGAGTACCTACTATCTTACTATTGAATGCCTTGTTTGTTCTTTATTCACCAAAGTGAAAGTAAGTAAAGTAGTTCTTGACCGTTCTTGACCTCTATTTGTATACATCTTGAAAGTGTTTAAATTATTTAAATATAATGAAATAACCCAACTTTTGGTGACTGGAGAAGAATGTAAACTGAATGCAAGTTTGTTAATGCGGTCGATATTTTAAAGTGACTGACAATTTAATTATGAGAATGTAGTCCTTTATTTGGATCAGTGAGTTTTTCAGTGGTTGTCTTTGGTTGCCAAGCTAACACATATTAGGCGCATTCACACTGCGGTACTTTTCCCACAAAGGTTCATGAGAACTTAGTTCATGAGAACTCTTTAGTTCTCATGAACTAAATACAGATTGCGTTCACACCGGAATAAATCCCTGAGGGTGGATTAGGCAAATGAAGCCGCTGACGTCACTTGTTCTTCTTCTGCTTTGGGTTTACTGGCAGGCCGCAAACCACTTCACGGCGTATACTGCCGCCCAAAGTCCCCGGCCGGAAGTCCCCGGAGTTGGGGACTGGCTTCAGTAGAAACTGCTGGGACTCCCGGCAGCTTCTACTGAAGCCTTCCGAGTAAATCGCCAGAACGCCGACACCTCCTCATCTCCACCACTCCCATGTTTTATTTTGTGTTGCCATAAGTTAGTCTCTCTGCGTTTCTGCGCTGGGCTAATGCTAATGCTAATAATGCTAATGTGAGGATAATAAAATGGCGGCTTCACAAAACTTTTTGGGAGTTTTACGGGGCGTGGTTTGCAATCCGCCCAGCCAATCAGAAATATAGCTCTTTTCTCACAAGAGAGCCGCTCGAAAGTCCCTGCTCTCTAGCAGGGACTTTCGTGGGGGTAAAAAGGTTCACATGAACTAATTTTAGTACCGGCTCTTTTTGGTGTGAACGCGATAAAAGAGTTCACATGAACTAAGTTCACATGAACCTTTGTGGGAAAAGTACCACAGCGTGAATGCGCCTATTGCTATAGGTAGACATGTGTTAAAGTGTTATTTATTACCCTAAATTTGGTTTGGCAACAAAAGGTTTTGCCCTGTTCATCTCAATTATTGATTTTGTAAGGGACAACCCAACCGGGGTCATAACAAGATTTGTTTGAGGATTTCAAGCCTAACAATTCCTTTTTTGTGTGTGTGCTGTTTCTTCATTACAATTGGGACACTCAGCATGGGCACTGTTGTTTTTTAAGATTAATATCACATACAATGTACTACTGCTGTAGGTAATAAAGTAGACATAAGAGCACCGAATGTGCTAATTCGAAGCTTAAAATAGTCCAGAAAAAATGAAGAAAACTCTACTAAAGAAGAACAATAGTTTAACTACAGTGTCCGTCTGTTACAGGATATTATTTTGCCTTGAAACATTTATTATATACAGTGATGTTTAAAGAAATAACAAAAATGAAAGTCTTCAGTGTAAATCAACGAGCTTGGGGCTGAGTAGCACAAACAGGGTAGCAAATATATTAAGTATTAAGTAGACATTCAAGGGCACTGTTGGTTTTTAGTCTTTTAATGAGATTTGTTGACAATAAGGAAATATAGAAAACCCTTCTTACCCTTTGAAATTGTATGGCTTTGCATCCATAAATAATAGAAATCTCCGTAACCAGATGAAATAGATACTAATATTATTCCTGATGTTTTATTATGTTCTCTCTTGGCCGAAACATGCATCCAACGTATGTTAAAACATATTTGCTTGGTGTTATACTCATATCTTGCTTGAGCATAATGTTATTACAGAGCAATTAGGATTGTCTTTCCAATTAACTGTTTGTTCTGTGTGTCCTAGCTACTAGCTGTTTGTAGGGGTTTGGGGGGGGGGAGCTGGTTGGTCAGGTAGCGCCTGAAGGACAGCCAAAAGCATTATTTGTGCCGAGTACATCTGCCATGTCTGTTGTTGGTGTTTGAAGAGATGCAAACAGCAGCAGCCTGGAGACTATGTGATTGTGGAAAGCATAATAAATGTTTCAAAGGTCCTAGAGCCAAAATCTATGTGATGAAATAACACTGCTTCTCTTACTTAGCCTTATTTTTTTATTCAACGATCATATTCCTTTCCAGAGTATATCAGGGGATCTAATGGTTCGTAACATCCAGCTGAACCACGGAGGAAAATATGTCTGCGTTATTGACACTGATGTGGAAAGCCTGTCCACCTCTGCCATCTTAGTTGTGAAAGGTAAGATAACCACTTGAGTTAAAAGCATGTTTTTATCAAGCATTTTATATTTTTCTGTAAATCACGAGACATTTAACCCTTAGATGCATAAGTGGGTCTTTTTTGACCCGGTGAGGTGGTTTTCTTGAAGTATCTTTGTAATTACATTTTTTTATTATTTCATATTCCAGCTATTCCTCAAAAAACATGTTTTGGATATCATGCCATTCAAATTTTAAATGTAAATGTTATCAAATCAAATCAAGTTTTATTATATAGCACATTTATAAACGATTTTTGGTCGAGCCAAAGTGCTGTACATATAATAAAAATAGCCTACAGTAGAGACACTTTACAGCAAATACAACAGCACAGATTGTTCAGAATATCAGTATGAGAAAAACGACACCCTCTGTCCTTAGACCCTCACATCGTACAAGGAAAAACGTTTTTTTATTATTTCATATTCCAGCTATACTCAAAAAACATGTTTTGGATATCATGCCATTCAAATTTTAAATGTAAATGTTATACATTTTAAGAAATTGTAGTTTTCGTATTACTACCCCAAGCTTCCATAAGTGGGTCAAAAATGACCCGCATGCATTTTCTATGGAATTTCGTTTTTTTTTTAAAATGTAAAATAAATGTCTAAAATTATAAATAGTGAAAAATTCAATATAAAATATTTCTAGTGTGAACCCAAATATAATAAAAAATATTATACAACTGATTTTTTTAACCAAAATGGCATAAAAAACACATATTATTCTAATATGGGTCCTTTTTGACCCACTTATGGAAGAGTGTAGGGTCCAGTCACTCGTGCATCTAAGGGTTAAGCATATAAGTATATTCAAAGAGAAAGAAGTTTTGATAGATTGGAAAAACCTTTAGGCTTTCATTTAAGATACAGTGCGGAAAATAGACGAATGCTACCTCTGTCAGTCATGTCAGCTTCTGTTTACATTATATATGTGCTGCTGGATTTAAAATGAATGATAGACACACACTAACACTGACATGTGTGTGAGTAGCTTGTTAATATGTGTTTGGGGAATCTGGCTCACTGCACTGGGCTTATCTCCGGTGATTTACGTTGGTATTCATGTCCTTAACAAACTGTAATAGTGGTCCCAGGTGCTTTGAGACGGCAATGGTTATCACGGAAAATGACTATAATTGGCTCATTTACACATCGGCAAAATATCATGGAAAGCATTTAAATAATTGAACAGTTGAGCAAACAACAGCAACATAGTAAAGCTATAGCGCTTAACAGTCACAGACACTCGCTTCTCTCTTCCCCCTCTCTGTATTCTTTTATTGTTCTCTCTAGTGTCTTCTCCAATCTAGCCCCTCTTTCCTTTTCTCATAAATGATCCCATCCAGTGTCTCTTTCCACTGCTGGCGATCCCAGTAATGACTTTGTAGCGCGGCACATCACACACGCAGTGAATGAAAAGTCCCCGCATGCACACACCAAGGACGTAGCCCTTAATTAAAGCTACCACGGAGGCCTTGATATGTAACAAGGTGCACACGTCTTAGTGGGTTTGATGAGGGGAGGCTTCTTGGAATGGGTGATCACCTGAAATTCACCCTCTTTAATGTATGATTGATTCAGGTCCGCCAGGTCCTCCAGACAAGGTGTCGGTGGTGGAGATCACAGACAGCACTGCCCAGCTCTCCTGGACTCCAGGAAGGGACAATGGCAGCCCCATCACCGGCTACATCATCCAGGCCAGGACTCCTTTCACTGTGGGCTGGCAGGTTGTGGATACAGGTACCATGAAAAGGGTTCTTGTAGATGTAAGGTACTTTGATCTCCCTTGGGGAAACAGGTTTTCATTTGTGACCAGAGGTGGGAAGTAGTGGAGAACAAATACTTTGTTACTGTACATCTTTCTGGTACTTTACTCCACTACTTATTTTTCTAACGACTTGAACACAAATACCTGAACTTTCTACTTCTCACATTCTCCAAACAGCTGGTTCCTTTAGTTTGAATGTGTGTTTGGTGGCGTGGTCATTATTCTTTAGAGTCATTGCGTGCCTATTGATTTGAACACGATCCGTGTATCCATCATTTCCTGGTATTCTCTAAAGAAGAGGGACCAATGGAAACGTTGTCATGTTGCCGTTGTTCAGCATGGAAACATTCATTAGCTCATAATGACATTATTGTTCTATTAATATAAAGGGAGGTCAGGTACTCTTTAAAACAGCTGCTAGTTATGGGTACTTTTTACTCAAGTACATTTCAAAGCCCTTACTTCTTACTGGGTAAAGAAGTCAGTACTTCTACTTTTACCAGAGTATTTTTAAACACAAGTATCTGTACTTCTATTTGAGTAAAGGATGTGAGTACTTTTGCCATCTGTGTGTGACAATATATTTTTTGAAAGAACTAATTTCCTGTTCGCAGTGCCGGAGGAAGTCAACGGGAACATGCTGACGGCCACGGTGTCCGGTCTGAACGCCTGGGTGGAGTACGAGTTCAGGGTAGTGGCTCGCAATACCGTGGGCCTCGGAGAGCCTAGTCCAGCCTCGGCCATGACCAGGACAGAGGATACCAGTATGTGAAATATTACACTTCATGCATACACCCAAATTCAAAGGTCTTATTGTCATATGCACAAAGCAACAGTGTAGAAAGGGCAATGAAATTCTTCTGACCTGAGCTCCTCCAACAATGAAACATGATAAAAGATGATAAAGGAATGTAGTGATTTTAAAATGATGACTTACCATTGACAAATCTGACTCTTCCCTTGATTTCCCTATGGATTCAAAGATATCTTCAACCATAGAACTCCACTCATTTGTAATCATAAGTTTACATGGATAACACACTGCCAAGTTTCCAATTGCCTGCTGAAAATAAAAGTTTTGGACCGTGAGGAAAGGAAATGAGAACTCATCATGAGGATTGCTGATACCTTACAAATCAACCTAATTGGATACATTTGGTATCAGTCTAAGCATATTCCCTTTGGCTATTTCGAATGAGCCATTATTGTGAGCATAGCATTTTCCGTTTAAGACTTTTTCTTTGAATAATTCTGAGCGTTCTATTTTACGTATTTACTGCTCTTTCACAAACTTTGTCTGAAGGTTTTCTTTTATTGAAGAAGTCTAGAGCCCTTATATCTGCGCAGGAAAGCTTTACGTTGAGTGTTTTGCTTTGTGGAGAGGTAGTTATATAAATGGTTTAGCTGAATCAATGGGTGTCAAGTGTTGGTCACTTCCTTTTATTTTGCCTCCATTTGTCAAGGTAAGTGGTAAATGGACTGCACTTATGTTACGCTTTTCGTTACAATTGGCCTCTTATATACTAACACACACATTCCAATGGGGATGGGGCTGCCATGCAAACCCCTGGCCTGGCTAGCACAAGCAATTTGGGATTCAGAGTCCCGCCCAAGGCCACTTCCATGTGTAGACATGATGAGTCAGGGGTCAAACTGACTAATCTGTGAGAAGTGGACAAGCCAAGCGTTAGTGAGAGCATGAGACAGAGTTTGAAAACACGAGTGTTAGCAGCCAAGGGAGGACTCTAAAAAGGATAAAGGTATCCTAATGAAGTTTGGATAGAAATCCGAGTTCTCAGTTCCTAAGCTACTACGGCAATGGCCAACATTACATTGGTAGGATATCAGATAGGTCTCAAAATGCTTCAACACCCATTTGCTGGTACAACACATTACATGTGATGCTCCACTTACGATAGGATCCTCCCCACCTACACATTGCAGTGCACAAACAGCTGAGTAGGAATGGGAATGAAGTGGGTTGAGTTGAGTGTCATCTGCAAAATACTACATATCTGGCTTCGTGTTTATGCATGGTGACATTTAGGCAATATCACTGAAGTGCACATCCTTGTGTTCGACACGAGTCAGGGATTTGTTGGCTGTAAAATAGAAAACGGTATCTGCAGCAGGCAGCCTTGTCATGAGGCTTCAAGTGTAGTTGATGCTTGTCGTGGGGCTTTGTAAACTGCGTTCTAATTGCTCTCCTCTGGGTTTTACCTCTCAGTTCCTGATACAGCTCCCACTGATGTCGGAGGTGGAGGCGGCACAAAGTCTGAATTAGTGATAACATGGGAGGTAAGTCATCTGTCACATTTTACTGTTCTATCCATCGCCGGGTAATGGTTTTGCTTAATTGTGCAGAATTGAACAGAGCAATTTTATGGCCCACATTATAGCAAGCCACCTCTCCTCCGGGCTCAGCCACCGAGTGCAAGAGAGCACTTGCTCTGAAGAGTTTTGCACTTTAGCCACAATTACATGGCCATGCAGGAGGAAAAGATAAGGCGGAAGGTGATTGCTGAGTGTTTCTGGGTGGTAACCGAGAACCGGGCTGTGTCTAATCCCAGAAGACCTTGTGGAGGTGCAGCGCAGAGACGGGCCTGTCTGTTTCTCTGTCTGTATGCGTTTTAATATCACTATAGTTTTGTGTTTTGCTCCCAGCCTGTTCCCGAGGAGCTGCAGAACGGAGAGGGCTTTGGGTACATCATCGCCTTCAGACCCGTGGGCACAGTCACCTGGACCCGGGCGGTGATCTCCACTCCCGGCGTGTATCGTTACGACTTCCGCAACGACACCATCCCAGCGTTCTCGCCATTTGACGTGAAAGTGGGGGCGTTCAACAACCAAGGGGAGGGGCCCTTCAGCTCTATCGCCACCGTGTTCTCGGCAGAGGAAGGTACGTGAAGACTTCACAGCCCGGCAGCAGAGTGATGCTTAAATAAGCTATAATCTCTCTCCTTACAACTACGACCTTGAATCGTAGTGATGAGGAGATATTTCTTTTTCCACTGCGGTTATTTCCCTCCCCCTCTAAGCTAGAAATGTCAACTTGATATTAGTTATCATGCTGGTAGATTACAGGAAATCCTAGCAGACACTTACCACACGGCGCTGTCAGGGAGGTATTCTGTTAATTGAATTTGCTAGGCAGATAGTCTTCCCTTATGTCAGTCATAGATCCCATTAAAAAGAGAAAGGGGGGGGAATAGCTTCTCAGTGAAACGACTGGTCTGTTCTGTGCCTTTCCTCGTATTGCTGATAATGTGTGTGATGGTGTTGGACGAATGTCTGGGATTCTTACCCACACTGTATATTTCACAGTCCCCGGTGTGCCTCCTAAGAGGGTAAGGACCAGGATTGTGTCTGCGGTGCAAATTGAAGTGATCTGGGAAGCTCTTCCTGCGATATCGGAAAGAGTGCTCGGATATGAGGTACGTCGGAAAATCACTCTCTCCCTTTTTAAAAAACATGATAATTGACCTTCTCTTTGCTGCGTGACTATCAGATCATAACCATTCTTTCTTTTTCTTTCTTGTAATATTCTACTAATTCTTCTCATGTAGCTCTGCAAGGATTTTGTTTTAAATGTAATAATATAATTAAGTGACCCTGAAACGGTGGTGCGTCAACAGCAAAAAACCCACAAGAGGACAATAAGATAAAAAACATCATCCTTTTAAGAATTCAAAGAGGATTTGCTGCCCCCCCCCTCATCTCCCCATCTCCCACCGGGGCTCTTTCAATATCTGTCACCTCTGGCCCTCCGCACAAAGCTCTCCAGTTGCCATGGCTGTGTCCACTTTGTCCTTTCAGAAAAGAGCTTGTTTCTCCCAACGCGGTATTGAAGAGGATTTAAGCCTTTGAATCTCAATAGGCCACCAACACTATGGAGCTGTGCATCGTGCATATACATCGCTTAGCCTTTCACTTCCAGTTGAATGTAATCATCATAATTACAGCTTACGTTACCGTAAACCTAATAGTAGCGGTAGGGCTTTTCATATAGAACTTTAATTGAAAATAAATTGGAAATACAATCATTTAATGCAACTGAATAGTATCCCTGAGGGCGGACTTCACATTTCAATTTAATTATTAATTGACTTACCTATTCACTTAATAGTAGACACATTGAATATTGAAGATGACCCAAAGCGAGCGGCAAATTAGTTTGTTTGGTTTATTAAATATCGCTTTACCGGCAACCCTTAATTGGAGGCCTGAAGGAAAGCAAACTCTGTATCTTACCCAGAGCATACTCAGAAGTCTGAATCAAGATGTATCCATAACCTATCGATTTTTCTCAGGCAAAAGCACAAGCTGAGGTTGTTTTAATGGACAAAACAGGCAATAATCATGTATTTTGCTTTCTGGGTCAGTTATCATATGACCCTCTAATGCCCTCTAATATGGTGGTTGGGAGGTTGTGCATTAGTAATTGAGACTATGAAAAATGCATTGCTCATCATTACTCACTGCCTTCCCTTCAATTCCCTTCCGTAATATATAGCGTTTCATATTTCACGATTGAATATGAATAAAAAAAATCCAGTGAAATGCACCACAAAGAATTGACTGTTGCCCATGATTGTGACTTTTTTTCGTCAAACAGGTCATGTACTGGGAAGACGACACCAAGCCTGACACTATTGGCAAAGTGCGCATATCTGGAAACTATACGCTGGTTAACATTACGGGGCTGAAAGGAAACACAGTCTACTACCTCTGTGTGGCTGCATTCAATACGGGCGGCCCTGGGCCACAGTCTGCGTCCATCAACACCACCACAAAGAAACCACGTGAGTCCTTCACCGACAGCCATTTCAATTACTTCCAAATGGTCCTCTTCATGAACCATGTCCCCCTCTCGGATGACGTCGTACTGTCCTCGACGTGACAGGCATAGCATTCCTTCAGCTCCGTCTGGTCTATCAATGTGTTGAGTGGAACATTCCTACCGTGACACAAGCGATGTACAAGATGTATCATCTAAGAAAACGGCTGTGCATAGATTCTTCAAATTTAGGGATAAGAGCTTTCTGCAATATGAAGGAAAAAGAAACCGGTGATTCCTGACACCAGGATAGTAAAGTTAAGGATAGAAGAAATACATATGTGGTGGCCTAAGACTGACTCACTGGTTGTAGATTGTAGTTCTAAGCCTGCCATTGACTTTAGTCATGCACCATTCTCCTCCGTTTATGCTATCTCCGCTACCAGTTTGTAATGGCACTGCTTAGCTGAGCATAAGACGATTGTGATTGGTTCAAAGATATAGAAACTTAATGAAAATACTTTTGATCATAAAGATAGAACCCAAGCCAAAGGCATAACACATAATAATAATGGGGGAAGTTAGACCTTTCTTCAGCGCTGTCACAATACTTCCCCAAACCAGATGTTTCCAAATTTGTATTTAAAGATTTCTATCCGGCAATACAAGAAAACAAATGTAGAAAAAACAGCAGGATTTAGAAACATTTGAGCAGAAATACAGATATGCAAATAGGTTTTGCCTCTTAATGCTTAGAGGGTAAACAATTGGACTCTACGGCAGGACTAGCAGCTAGCTGGAATACAGAAAGAGTTAGCCAGCAACAATATATGCAACACAGGGATGGACTTCAAAGACAAATACAGAAATGGACTTCAAACAGAAAACTAATAAATAATTAAGGTTTAACACAATGCTAATTTAGCACATTTCTTCTGTATTTGGTTGTGTTTTCTCACTTTGCCTTGCTTTACATGTTGTCAATTTGCATGTGTTTTCTAAGTTAAAGTGTGTTGACTTCTCAGGGCCGCTGTTGAATTCAGTCTGTCTTTATTAGGCGCTCTGCTGCAGCCTGAATGTATTATGCAAACAAATCTGAACAATGTTCTACGTGCATGCATTGAAAACAGTTAAGCTGCAGAATATCCTGTCATATATTTATACCCCTTTATCTTGTTCTAGCTCCAGATCGGGCTCCTCTCAACATACAATGGACCATGATTGGCTCCACACTTACGATGCACTGGGATCCTGTCGTTGCTTTTGAGACAGAGTCAAAGGTCACTGGATACTTGGTGGGTCTCAATTCGATGCAAATCTCTAATGTATCTCTTGAATCAGGTGCTTTTGCATTAGCTCATTTTTCTGCGTCACCCTCTCTCGGCTCAGGTCCTGCTGAAAAGACATCGCAACAATGACATCAGCACTATCTCCACCAACAAGACCACTGTGGAGCTCAGCCTCTCATCCTATGACAACTATCTCATTCAGATCAAGACCATGAGTGAGGGCGGCGAAGGTGTGGGCAGCGAACCCATCCACATCCATAAATTAAGTGAGTTGACTGATGTGTTCCTCTATTTCACATCATTTCCCTTTTGATCCCTGATATAACTGCGGATCCAATAATTCAGAGAACATTTCATTTGGCTTCATCGCCTCCATTTCCAACCATGTGTAATAGACTTATTTGGAGTACAAGAAAAGCGACCTTTTTAGAAATGCGTGCGCGGAGTCATCTATCTCTGCCATTGGGTTATTATTCCTTGTTGACTGGCTGCACAGCGCTGATGCATATAAAGCAGTTCTGTGCTCCCATCCCGCTGCTCTGCAAAAATTGTAAGGCGGCTCCGTTTGCTGCTCTTTGATATGATACCAACTTTATCTTCCTGTGGTAGTTAAGAAGCCTTTCCTATTGAAAGTCAGTAATAATGTAGATATGGGAAAAAGTCACAGTTGGACATTTGATTTATGATGACTTGTCAGAGATTTTGAGGATAGCACGGAAGAGTTTTGTTCATTTGATTTGGGCACAGATGGAAAAAGTACACACATCCTTTACTCAAGTAGAAGTACAGATACTCATGTTTAAAAATACTCTGGTAAAAGTAGAAGTAGAAGTACTGACTAAACTTCTTTGCTCAAGTCAAAGTAAAGAGGTCTTTGAAGTGTACTTCAGTAAAAAGTACCCATAACTAGCAGCTGCTTTAAAGAGTACCTGACCTCCCTTTATATTAATAGAACAATAATGTCATTGTTATCTAATGAATGTTTCCATGCTGAACAACGGCAACATGACAATGTTTCCATTGGTCCCTCTTCTTTAGAGAAGACCAGGAAATGATGGATACATGGATCGTGTTCAAATCAATAGGCACGCAATGACTCTAAAGAATAATGATCACGCATCAAACACACATTCAGACTAAAGGAACCAGCTGTTTGGAAAATGAGAGAAGTAGAAAGTACAGGTATTTGTGTTCAACATGTAAGAAGTAGAAAGTACAGGTATTTGAGTTCAACATGTAAGAAGTAGAAAGTACAGGTATTTGAGTTCAACATGTAAGAAGTAGAAAGTACAGGTATTTGAGTTCAACATGTAAGAAGTAGAAAGTACAGGTATTTGTGTTCAACATGTAAGAAGTAGAAAGTACAGGTATTTGGGTTCAACATGTAAGAAGTAGAAAGTACAGGTATTTGGGTTCAACATGTAAGAAGTAGAAAGTACAAGTATTTGTGTTCAACATGTAAAAAGTAGAAAGTATAGGTATTTGAGTTCAACATGTGAGAAGTAGAAAGTACAGGTATTTGAGTTCAACATGTAAGAAGTAGAAAGTACAGGTATTTGAGTTCAACATGTAAGAAGTAGAAAGTACAGGTATTTGTGTTCAACATGTAAGAAGTAGAAAGTACAGGTATTTGTGTTCAACATGTAAGAAGTAGAAAGTACAGGTATTTGTGTTCAACATGTAAGAAGTAGAAAGTACAGGTATTTGAGTTCAACATGTAAGAAGTAGAAAGTACAGGTATTTGTGTTCAAAGTGTAAGAAGTAGAAAGTACAGGTATTTGTGTTCAACATGTAAGAAGTAGAAAGTACAGGTATTTGTGTTCAACATGTAAGAAGTAGAAAGTACAGGTATTTGTGTTCAACATGTAAGAAGTAGAAAGTACAGGTATTTGTGTTCAACATGTAAGAAGTAGAAAGTACAGGTATTTGTGTTCAACATGTAAGAAGTAGAAAGTACAGGTATTTGTGTTCAAAGTGTAAGAAGTAGAAAGTACAGGTATTTGTGTTCAACATGTAAGAAGTAGAAAGTACAGGTATTTGTGTTCAACATGTAAGAAGTAGAAAGTACAGGTATTTGTGTTCAACATGTAAGAAGTAGAAAGTACAGGTATTTGTGTTCAAAGTGTAAGAAGTAGAAAGTACAGGTATTTGTGTTCAACATGTAAGAAGTAGAAAGTACAGGTATTTGAGTTAAACATGTAAGAAGTAGAAAGTACAGGTATTTGTGTTCAACATGTAAGAAGTAGAAAGTACAGGTATTTGGGTTCAACATGTGAGAAGTAGAAAGTACAGGTATTTGTGTTCAACATGTAAGAAGTAGAAAGTACAGGTATTTGTGTTCAACATGTAAGAAGTAGAAAGTACAGGTATTTGTGTTCAACATGTAAGAAGTAGAAAGTACAGGTATTTGTGTTCAACATGTAAGAAGTAGAAAGTACAGGTATTTGTGTTCAACATGTGAGAAGTAGAAAGTACAGGTATTTGGGTTCAACATGTAAGAAGTAGAAAGTACAGGTATTTGTGTTCAACATGTAAGAAGTAGAAAGTACAGGTATTTGTGTTCAACATGTGAGAAGTAGAAAGTACAGGTATTTGTGTTCAACATGTAAGAAGTAGAAAGTACAGGTATTTGTGTTCAACATGTAAGAAGTAGAAAGTACAGGTATTTGTGTTCAACATGTAAGAAGTAGAAAGTACAAGTATTTGAGTTCAACATGTAAGAAGTAGAAAGTACAGGTATTTGAGTTCAACATGTAAGAAGTAGAAAGTACAGGTATTTGTGTTCAACATGTAAGAAGTAGAAAGTACAGGTATTTGAGTTCAACATGTAAGAAGTAGAAAGTACAGGTATTTATGTTCAACATGTAAGAAGTAGAAAGTACAGGTATTTGTGTTCAACATGTAAGAAGTAGAAAGTACAAGTATTTGAGTTCAACATGTAAGAAGTAGAAAGTACAGGTATTTGAGTTCAACATGTAAGAAGTAGAAAGTACAGGTATTTGAGTTCAACATGTAAGAAGTAGAAAGTACAGGTATTTGTGTTCAACATGTAAGAAGTAGAAAGTACAGGTATTTGAGTTCAACATGTAAGAAGTAGAAAGTACAGGTATTTGAGTTCAACATGTAAGAAGTAGAAAGTTCAGGTATTTGTGTTCAAAGTGTAAGAAGTAGAAAGTACAGGTATTTGGGTTCAAAGTGTAAGAAGTAGAAAGTACAGGTATTTGTGTTCAAAGTGTAAGAAGTAGAAAGTACAGGTATTTGGGTTCAAAGTGTAAGAAGTAGAAAGTACAGGTATTTGTGTTCAACATGTAAGAAGTAGAAAGTACAGGTATTTGTGTTCAACATGTAAGAAGTAGAAAGTACAGGTATTTGTGTTCAACATGTAAGAAGTAGAAAGTACAAGTATTTGAGTTCAACATGTGAGAAGTAGAAAGTACAGGTATTTGTGTTCAACATGTAAGAAGTAGAAAGTACAGGTATTTGAGTTCAACATGTAAGAAGTAGAAAGTACAGGTATTTGTGTTCAACATGTAAGAAGTAGAAAGTACAGGTATTTGTGTTCAACATGTAAGAAGTAGAAAGTACAGGTATTTGTGTTCAACATGTAAGAAGTAGAAAGTACAGGTATTTGAGTTCAACATGTAAGAAGTAGAAAGTACAGGTATTTGTGTTCAAAGTGTAAGAAGTAGAAAGTACAGGTATTTGTGTTCAACATGTAAGAAGTAGAAAGTACAGGTATTTGTGTTCAACATGTAAGAAGTAGAAAGTACAGGTATTTGTGTTCAACATGTAAGAAGTAGAAAGTACAGGTATTTGTGTTCAACATGTAAGAAGTAGAAAGTACAGGTATTTGTGTTCAACATGTAAGAAGTAGAAAGTATAGGTATTTGTGTTCAACATGTAAGAAGTAGAAAGTACAGGTATTTGTGTTCAACATGTAAGAAGTAGAAAGTACAGGTATTTGGGTTCAACATGTAAAAAGTAGAAAGTACAGGTATTTGGGTTCAACATGTAAGAAGTAGAAAGTACAGGTATTTGTGTTCAAAGTGTAAGAAGTAGAAAGTACAGGTATTTGGGTTCAAAGTGTAAGAAGTAGAAAGTACAGGTATTTGTGTTCAACGTGTAAGAAGTAGAAAGTACAGGTATTTGTGTTCAAAGTGTAAGAAGTAGAAAGTACAGGTATTTGTGTTCAACATGTAAGAAGTAGAAAGTACAGGTATTTGTGTTCAACATGTAAGAAGTAGAAAGTACAGGTATTTGTGTTCAACATGTAAGAAGTAGAAAGTACAAGTATTTGAGTTCAACATGTAAGAAGTAGAAAGTACAGGTATTTGAGTTCAACATGTAAGAAGTAGAAAGTACAGGTATTTGTGTTCAACATGTAAGAAGTAGAAAGTACAGGTATTTGAGTTCAACATGTAAGAAGTAGAAAGTACAGGTATTTATGTTCAACATGTAAGAAGTAGAAAGTACAGGTATTTGTGTTCAACATGTAAGAAGTAGAAAGTACAAGTATTTGAGTTCAACATGTAAGAAGTAGAAAGTACAGGTATTTGAGTTCAACATGTAAGAAGTAGAAAGTACAGGTATTTGTGTTCAACATGTAAGAAGTAGAAAGTACAGGTATTTGAGTTCAACATGTAAGAAGTAGAAAGTACAGGTATTTGAGTTCAACATGTAAGAAGTAGAAAGTACAGGTATTTGTGTTCAACATGTAAGAAGTAGAAAGTTCAGGTATTTGTGTTCAAAGTGTAAGAAGTAGAAAGTACAGGTATTTGGGTTCAAAGTGTAAGAAGTAGAAAGTACAGGTATTTGTGTTCAAAGTGTAAGAAGTAGAAAGTACAGGTATTTGGGTTCAAAGTGTAAGAAGTAGAAAGTACAGGTATTTGTGTTCAAAGTGTAAGAAGTAGAAAGTACAGGTATTTGTGTTCAACGTGTAAGAAGTAGAAAGTACAGGTATTTGTGTTCAAAGTGTAAGAAGTAGAAAGTACAGGTATTTGTGTTCAACATGTAAGAAGTAGAAAGTACAGGTATTTGTGTTCAACATGTAAGAAGTAGAAAGTACAGGTATTTGTGTTCAACATGTAAGAAGTAGAAAGTACAAGTATTTGAGTTCAACATGTGAGAAGTAGAAAGTACAGGTATTTGTGTTCAACATGTAAGAAGTAGAAAGTACAGGTATTTGAGTTCAACATGTAAGAAGTAGAAAGTACAGGTATTTGTGTTCAACATGTAAGAAGTAGAAAGTACAGGTATTTGAGTTCAACATGTAAGAAGTAGAAAGTACAGGTATTTATGTTCAACATGTAAGAAGTAGAAAGTACAGGTATTTGTGTTCAACATGTAAGAAGTAGAAAGTACAAGTATTTGAGTTCAACATGTAAGAAGTAGAAAGTACAGGTATTTGAGTTCAACATGTAAGAAGTAGAAAGTACAGGTATTTGAGTTCAACATGTAAGAAGTAGAAAGTACAGGTATTTGTGTTCAACATGTAAGAAGTAGAAAGTACAGGTATTTGAGTTCAACATGTAAGAAGTAGAAAGTTCAGGTATTTGTGTTCAAAGTGTAAGAAGTAGAAAGTACAGGTATTTGGGTTCAACATGTAAAAAGTAGAAAGTACAGGTATTTGAGTTCAACATGTAAGAAGTAGAAAGTACAGGTATTTGTGTTCAACATGTAAGAAGTAGAAAGTACAGGTATTTGAGTTCAACATGTAAGAAGTAGAAAGTTCAGGTATTTGTGTTCAAAGTGTAAGAAGTAGAAAGTACAGGTATTTGGGTTCAACATGTAAAAAGTAGAAAGTACAGGTATTTGTGTTCAAAGTGTAAGAAGTAGAAAGTACAGGTATTTGTGTTCAAAGTGTAAGAAGTAGAAAGTACAGGTATTTGTGTTCAACGTGTAAGAAGTAGAAAGTACAGGTATTTGTGTTCAACATGTAAGAAGTAGAAAGTACAGGTATTTGTGTTCAACATGTAAGAAGTAGAAAGTACAAGTATTTGAGTTCAACATGTAAGAAGTAGAAAGTACAGGTATTTGTGTTCAACATGTGAGAAGTAGAAAGTACAGGTATTTGAGTTCAACATGTAAGAAGTAGAAAGTACAGGTATTTGTGTTCAACATGTAAGAAGTAGAAAGTACAGGTATTTGTGTTCAAAGTGTAAGAAGTAGAAAGTACAGGTATTTGTGTTCAACATGTAAGAAGTAGAAAGTACAAGTATTTGTGTTCAAAGTGTAAGAAGTAGAAAGTACAGGTATTTGTGTTCAACGTGTAAGAAGTAGAAAGTACAGGTATTTGTGTTCAAAGTGTAAGAAGTAGAAAGTACAGGTATTTGAGTTCAACATGTGAGAAGTAGAAAGTACAGGTATTTGAGTTCAACATGTAAGAAGTAGAAAGTACAGGTATTTGTGTTCAACATGTAAGAAGTCAAAGTAAAAAGTCGTCAGAAAAAGAAGTAGTGGAGAAATGTGTACTTAAGTACAGTAACGAAGTATTTGTTCTCCACTTCTTCCCACCTCTGGATTTGAGGGGTATTCTGCTTTTTTCACGAGCTGCTCTGCTGGTTTTTGGTTGCAGGCATGGGAGCGCGAGGCTCAGGAGCGACTCGCCTCAGCCCATTGGTCCTCTCTTCAGTCCTCATCAGCGCACTGCTCTGCTCCGCCTGGTGATGTCTGATCAGAGCCTTCGGAGCGCCTTCCCTCCCCCTCCATCCCTTTCTCTGGACTGGCACAAGGCCCGGACTTCAGTGGCAGAACTGGGAAAGACTGGACAACACTGGACTCCGCCAATCTCTTAAAGGGACCACGCCACTTTGTTTTGAAGGGCCATCACACAGAGACGTGAAGATGTTGCGTGCATGATATCTTTCAGTATTTCTTACAGCGTCATAAGTGCCACCGTGCTCTAGGTTTCATTTTAGAAGTTATGATGTCCACATGACTTATCTTCTTAGTATCTTTGTAGATACTAATGCCTTAAAACCCATTGTACACAGAACGTCCATACCAAAGTAGGTGACAGGCTGCTTGTTTGGTGGTTTCTTTAACCCTATATACTCAGAAGAATGTGTGTTAAAATCCAAATTCTCTACAGACGATTAATCTATATTCATTGGGTTCATTCTTATATTACTGTCTCAATAATCTTAAATTTAACCTGTTCCATTGACAGAACATCAGCTAATATCCTTATCACATGCAGCTTTTGCCAAAAGAAACATCTATTACAGGCTTAACAAATTTCCAGGCGTTGACATATATATGAAGGATGCATAGCAAATTGATCAACTGTGCCTCAAACCCTCTTATCTCTGCATACTGAGATAATATTAGGTCTGTTCGAGAGCTGTGCAGTCTCCGGAGCTTAAGGCCCTCTCCACAGTACCCTGATAGATCTTGGCATGTTGCCATCTCGTGCTCCTCTAAATAATAAATGCCTATCACACTCCTCACCCGCAGTCTAGCTAAAACGCTGGGATTGCAGGAGATAGAGACCTGCGGTATTACTATGTCAAGCATATCCCAAGTGAACTGTTCCTCCTCTACATTTAGATGACCTGTGTTCTAAATACGTATATCATATCATGGAACATGTTCCATCTATACCCCAGATGACCAGCTGACGCAGTGCACAATAGACTAAAGGATAACAGTGCCTTCACTAGAGCTCACTAGTCACTCACCCACCCACCCACTCACTTCTTTCTTCTTCTCCTTTGGGAAAGATTCATGTTGCAGAAGAGGCATTGTTTGCTTTTCCTTCTGAAGAAGTTAGTTCAGAAGGACCGAAAACTCAGAATGTACATTAACCCATTATTAGAAAGAGTCTGTTGATTAAATTACACAAAAATTGTTGACGCTTTAGGAAAGCTGCGATGGATTGAGATATATGGCGGAAATGTTGGTCCAAGTATATGTTCTACGGTATAATAAAAGTTTGACTCCATCCTAAACATAATTTCTGAGCTATTAAGGCATCAGAATAATGGATGCGGATATCAGACAGAGTGCCCTGACTGGAAATGGAGCAAAATACATAGTTGTAATTTTACCCCCGCCCCATCACCGCCTATTGGACACATACCAGACTGAAGAGTAACTAAAGAGCATTGCTGCGCTGCTGAGTGAACTACTTTTCATGCCATTTTGTCACGTGGATGAGTCTGTCAAAAGCCACCCAAGAAAGAGCCGAGGTGTGATTACTGGGGTCCTGAAGAAGTTCACGAGGATGTGAAAGGATCAGTTGAACTGCTACACATTACTGTGCCTTTGCCGAACATGGGGCTGTGTACGGTCATTAGCTTGGAGTCTGTCGTCGTCTGTTTTTTGCACTCTCTTTCCCCCTACTTCCTCAAAGTCGAATGAAAGCACAAGGAATTGATGCAAGGTGACTGGATGTCTTCACTTAGCCGTCTGAGCAGGTGTGCAGACCCCAGAGGCCTCGTAAAAAAAGTCCAAACGGCCGACGTAATCAGGCTGTCCTATCTGCTCCTTGAATGGTTTCATAAAGCTCTGCGCTCTTTGATTAGACTGCTGCAGACCAGTCAATGGGATATTGATTTTCCTGCCCCATTATTACAGCTGTCACAATTCAGCTGCTTGACTGACTGATGGTCTCGTTTCTATTGCACTCGTTCTGTTGTGTTACTGTCACTGATGTATCAGCACTATCCCTATTTCATAAGGCAATCTTCTTTTGTTGTGTTTTGCTTTTTTCTTTCACTAGACATTTCACTGTATTAGCTAGGTTTTCAAGTATTTTGTAGTGTAGTGGTAGATTTGGAGCAGTAACCTGAAACTGATTGGCTGGTTGATTTTTTTTAAAGTTATATATCAAAATACTGCTGTATCAGTCTTTCCAATAGCGTAAAAGCCTAGTCACACCAGCATTAGAAGGACCATTGTCTTGGATTTAGGGTGATCTATTAGCAGCAAAGGAATTTGATATTCACTATTAATTATACAATAATGTTTAGTTATCCTAAACTAATGATGCATTTACACTGCATGATACACAGCAGAGCAGCACAGTTCTATACAGTGGATCTTTTTAGTTTTTCAATTAGCAAAAGTTGTAGATATACTTTATACCGGGTATGTATTACTTTATTGGTACCACCTCGCTTGTGTGTTCAAAGGGAGCTGAATGGATACCTAAAAGTGCTGTTTAAAATCCAGGAGACTTGTTTGGTCGCAATATCTTCTCCTTTGGGGTCGTTTTCTTTAGTTCGAGTGGCTTTTTGCCACTAAATCCTACACACTGGTCCTCTTAAACAGCAAACCTCTTTGGCAAAATAGGTTCGTTTGAATGGAATTGCAGCAATCAGCGGATGCACATTTGGCAAAGTAAATTTGTAAATTTCGATTTAGGTTTCATCTGTGTGCTGTTAAACATTACCTAGCCCTTTTGACAAGCCAGATTATTCGAAATGGAGAAAGCTAAAGTGTCTTTTTTGCCCTGTTGCATTAATAATTTAACATTAAACCCATTCTCTGTCAGAATTGGGACTTGGGACAAGTTATGAAACTGGGTTTGATGGTATAAAAATATAGTATCTTTGGAATAAAATGTGGGAAATAAGCATCAGTAAAGCAAGCTAACTAGCTTGGGGAGTTTACTTTAATGATAGAGAACAAAGACTGACTGGCATGTTTCCCACTGTCATGTTTTACCGTTGGCTCAACAGCTACAGTATCTCAAGCACTATCTTCTGTGCGTAGCTATTCTAACAAAGCCCATTTCAAAAAGACGTGCAGGTCAATATCGCTGTGACACTTTCTGGTGTGACCGGGCCACAAATAAGCTTGTGTGTGTGCAAATACCTGATCCGAGTGATGTTAATATTTCCGTAAATATCCAAATAAGGTAACTTCATTGGAAGATGGCAGATTCCTATTCACAGTGTTAAAATGTGTAACTGTTTCACTACACTTTCATAATTTTTACATAGCCTAATGTTTCTTACCTCTGCTCTTGCTCGCACAGAAAATCAAAACTACAGTTTCTTGTGCTTTAATAAATACTACAAAGTAAAATCTAGAAAGTGATCAGAGCCATCAGCTTGAAGTGTATTGATCACAGAACAACTACATATCTATTTATATCCACAAGGTCTGTTTGGTTAGATTGGTTTCTGTGGTTTTTATTGCTAGAAAAGAGTGTACCTGGTGCAGTGTAAATAGCTTGCATATATTTTTTAAACATGGCCATCAAAGACAACCTTACTGCTTTTATATAGTGTGTTTTCCGACCTTAATACTGCTGTATTAATCAATGATCTCTGTGAGATACTGACATGTAGAGTGGCATTTTCATATTGAAAAGTAACTGTTTTGTCTTGTATACTAAAATTGTGCATGTTGATCATTGTTTGTGAATTTGTGTTGGATTTTTTTCTAAAACTATAACTTAATAAAAATGTTTATTCCAGCCAATGGGATGTCTGCCTGTGTCTGCCTTACCACCCAACCTGTTTTGGTAGTTACAGAACAAATGTTGTCTATTTAAGACATCAATTTATTTACAAGAACTGTGCTTCTAATTTTAAGAACGAAAACATACATGTTTTTTCTACAGGTCAAAATCTTAACATGTTTCTGTGAAGAAATCACACTTAAAATCAATAGCATGACCCAGTGTTAAAGGTCCCATGTCATGGCCATTTCTACGGATCATATTTCCATTGTTGAGGTCTACTAGAATAGATTTAAATTGTGCAATTTTCCAAACTCACATTGGTTTCTCAAACAGCATCTCTGTAAAGTATGTGTATTCACTCTCTGTCCTAAACGGCTTGTTGGAGCTCCTGCCCCCCCCCACTCCCCCTCCCTGTGAGCCCACTGTGCTCTGATTGGTCGGGACGTTGCGAGGCTCGTTGCTGGTTTCTGGTGTCGGCGATACAGCGAGAACAAGCAAAACTCATCCTGAGCACACACAAACACTCACAGCAGAAGTAAAAACAATAAGTGTGGCTTGATACTGAGAAAGAAAAAGGTTTATAACGCTGTGAGTCAATGGGTCTGCGGAGAGCATTTCTCCGCAATCCCAACTCGTCTATGACCAGCGTTCAGGGAGCTCTTTGCAAGTCAATGGGGACTCCCTGTTAGTTAGCCAAGGGATCCTGGTGTGTGAGGTGCTCTGCGGATTGGTCCAGTTGGGCCAATCCGGTCATTTGTTGTTGATTTGGGTGTTCACACGTCACAGAACCCAGGAAGCAAACAATGGAAACTGAGAAATCTCCAACGAGGCGTTCTGGGGCAGCATAGACAGGTATTTTCTGTGTTAGAGTTTTACTCGCTACAGGGTGTACTTTGAGGGGTTTTGACTCTGCAGACCGTTTACATGCATAAAAACCTTTATAGCCAGGGCTGCACATAACTGGTGCGCAGGTGCGCATGCGCACCTCCGCCAAAAAAAGAGCACCGGGTCATTTGTAACAAAGCGCATTTGCGTACCAACATTGAGAGAGGGAGAGAGAGAAGGGAGAAGAGAAAAGAGAAAATAGAGGAGAGAGAGAGAGAAGAGAGAGAGAGAGGAGAGAGAGAGAGAGAAAGATATTTGCGAGTTGCATATGAACCATGATATGAACTCAGGGCCGGCCCGTAGCTCTGGCTAGATGTTCGCCTAGGGCGCCAGATCTGTGGAGGCGCTGCGCTGGTAGTTCTGGGAGGGAAAAAAACATTTTGACCGTTGGTGCTCATCCTAATTTTCGGCCTTGATGTAACAATATTCATAATTAAGTAAATGTAACTCCCTTTTCACCCCGGTTACACGTTTCATTTGCCCTGTATGATGGGCGCTGTAAGTGATGAAAGTGGGGGATGTTGGCTTATCTGGCGCCCGCAGCTCACAGTCCAAAGCGAGTGAGCGAGGGAGGGTGCACTGATACCAGCGCTGTTGTTATTCAAATCTGGTGCCGTGCTAGCTGCTCTAACGGATATAGGAAGAAGATGTTTCTACAATGATGTGGAGGGAGAGTCCTCTCCAGTCAGACTGATAACTACAGCTCAGTGAGGTAAAGGACTCTTGAGTGTTTAGATAGTTCACTTTAGTCTAAGTTCAAACGGTTTGGTCACAATTTATGTAAACACATATTTCCAAGGCACTCCTTTATAATTATTGGGATAAACAGGTTTTAAATCATTCCAATGTATACTATAGGACAGTAACCAAAAATATCCTTTAAAACTGGAGAGATAAAAAAAATGCATATATAAATAAATGTTAAGGTAAAATAAGATATGAATGAACAACACAGATCAAATAAGTTACATTCATTTGTTATTGGCTATGGTAGGTTATTGGTTATGTTCATATACTTATTTGATTACATCCACTTGTCTAAGATGACAACAGAGACTTTCAACCCAAACCCAGCTGTTGACTTGTGGATGCAAGCAACTAATCGCAGACTCAACCAGAGAGAAAGAAGTAGGCCTACATCATCAGCTACCATGTCTGACAGAGAGGAAGACAGTGAGGAGAACAGTCAGGAGGGTAGTGATGACAGCTTGTAGGATTACTGGTCGTGCTAATGTTGTCTTGTGTTCACCTCTGCATGTGTGTTCTGTGTTCACCTCTGCATGTGTGTTCAGTGCCGTGTGTCTGGCAAATAAAGACCCCCTCAAAAGTTACGGTTTATTTAATGTTAAGGATGAGCACCAAGCAACATCTCCAGGTGCTCCTTTGAGAACCAGGGCAAAGAAGTGATGTGCACCCCTGTTTATAGCACACAAGGGGATGGGTAATAACCGGAAAAGCATGACATGGGCTCTTTAAGTACTCCTAACAACATTTTAATGCAGTATATAGTGCGAACTATAGATCTATAGACCTGGCAGTTGAATTATTCATGACAGGTCATTGCCAGGGCTTTAGAGATATCAAGAGAAATCCAATGTGCAAATGAGATGTATTAACTTTACCAGTAATGGTGACATCATATAAATACTTGATTGAAGTAAAGGTGCAAGTTTATGTAATCGGAGGCAGCCTCTGCTTGTGTGGCTCACACATCAATGGCAAAGCACGGCGTTTGAGAGAGCGAGATCTAAACAGGATTACTTTATGCCAAAGCAGTTTGTAGAGTGAAAGAAGTGTTTCAGAACATAATCACCCGATTCATCAAAGGACAGCTTTGCTCTGCTTCTCCACTGTGCATTTTACCCATCATTAGCCCCACACAGGCACAGTATCTGTGAAGAGGAGATGTTTCTCTATTTCTGACCAGAGGTTGTCTGTAAGTTACACACTGTGTGATTCCAACTATCAAATGTAAGAAATATCTGCTCTTTGGCTTTCACCCCTTGCTGGCCTCCTTGTTTGGTTTTACAGTATCTTTGAAGATCTATGATGCATGCAACAACCACTGAATGTCCTGTTAATGAGACACATATGAAAGCATTTCTTTAATGATCAGTGTTCTTGTGCTTGTTGTTTATACTTAAGTTAATTAATGTCCTTCAGTGCGGGGAAATTGTTTTTAAAATACGATGAATAATACGATGAATAGCACAACAGGAGGGCTGTTTCATAAGCTCCAATTTATACTCATTTAAAAGGATTTGAAAAAGGAAGATCACTTAACGTTTTGTCTCACCAATGTTATTATTATTACATTATTACATTGCATTTAGCTGACGCTTTTATCCAAAGCGACGTACAATAAGTACATTCGACCAGGAAGACACAACCTTGAAGAAAACAGAATCATAAAGTACATCAGGTTTCATAGAGCCAAAACATTTCAAGTGCTACTCAACTGGCTTTAGAAAAGCCAGTCCTTTATTAGTATATAAGTGCTTTGTTAATAATTCTATCGCTCGAAGTGGAGTCGAAAGAGATGAGTTTTCAGTCTGCGCCGGAAGATGTGCAAGCCATCTGCTGTCCTGATGTCAATGGGGAGCTCATTCCACCATCTTGGAGCCAGGATAGCAAACCCACGTGTTTTTGCCGATGGGAACTTGGGTCCCCCCTGTAGCAGCAGTAATTGCTCTGTAGTAGCAATGGAAGCATTATCTGCGTATTGTGAGTTCAGTCAGACAACTTACGTGTTTCTTTAATGTTTATTAGAAGCAGCATATAGTTGAGTTTGGCGTCTAGGCTCGGGCCTCATCACTCCACAGATACACATAGCACCATGAGTGATGATTAAATAACTAACCCCCCGAGCCTACAGGTGGAAGCTGGGGTGGTGGTGGGGCAGCAAGCAGCAGCGACGTAGAGGTAGCTGCAGCAATAGCAGCAGCAAGCAATGCATGGAGAGAGATCTGGCAGGTTAGATAGAGTGGCATATTAAGGAGACTCTGTTTGGTTGGTTGTAGAGTGGCACGGGGGCGTTATGTATGAATGCAGCACAAGTGCTCGAGTTGACTGCCTGAACTAGCTCGCAGGCTTCGCCCCATTTATTTACAGAACAGATTAAGCCGGTTCAAGTGGAGATCTTTATGAATAAAAGTTGCTTTATGCTTTTCTTATTTATTCCACAACACCTGTTATAATCTAATACAATTGTGAAAATGTAGCAAACCTTAATTTCCAAGCTGGACGAAGCACTCACATTTCAAACATCCACATTTTCATCATGGTTTGTATATGGGTTTTGAAATTAAAGGATTTCGGCCTTCTCACACAGAAGTTCTGATGTGCTGTGCGAGGTGATTATAAAAGTCAATATAAATGTGCATTTAAGTGCCAACAAAAATTCAGAAATGTTACATTTTTCATAAAAGATATGAACAGTTTGACTTTCCTCCCATGCAATCGCTAGTTACTTAAAAGGATTTAAAAGATTGATCAAAATGAGAGAAAAATCTAAGCATTCCTGGTTTATCGCAAAGGCCATCGACCTTTCACTAACTAAACGTTTCTCTTGTATCCCGGTCGTCAGCTAAATAAGCCACACCTGGGCCGGGTGTGGTTTGAGATATAAAGCTCAAAATATTTGCACACACACTCTTCCTTCTGACACACTGGGTGTTTCTCAATGTCGAGGAGGCTTGCTTGGTAGCACATGTACCTCCGAGTCAGTTGCTTCAGAAGCTAGGCAATAATCCTTCCGGGGCCCCTTCTCACTTCTC